TCTCTCTCTCTCTCTCTCTCTCTCTCTCTCTCTCTCTCTCTTTCTCACACCACACACACACAAACACACTCTCTCATTCCACTCACTCACTCACTGTTCGTCTTGTGTACTTATTTAGTACATTCATGATTAAACATCTATATGCATAATGTGAAATTTACTTACAATTAGTTTACTTGAAATATTCAATCTCTAAAGTGTTTATCTTATAAGATAGACAAAAAAATCTGAGTAAATAATAAGAAAAAAAAAAAAAGGATTATTATTGTCATAATTTTTTATCAATTAAGTACTCTCAACTATCCAATAATTAAATAAATACGTACAAATGTGCGCGCGTGTACACACATACACATATTGATATTAAAGAGATTGAAGGAGAGGAAGGAGAAGATAAAAATTTAAATATTCACATATATTTTCAAATATTATATATGAATTTATAGTTTACATATCTAATTAATAATGAATTTCTAATTATATTAAACATATCAAAATAAAGACATACATGTATTTATCAAATGAATAAAATTATTGAATACAGACATAAACAAAAATTAATTAATTAAACATATTCCAAATTTAGAAAAAATAAACTTTATTTATATATGCAACAGCTTTTTAAACTAAAATTTTTAAATTCTATTTTATATTAGACAATTATCTCAATCAACATCTACGTCCACATTAGCTGCACTGCAGACTACCTCTACAGCCACATTATCTGCTCCGCGGATATAGCGTTATGCCAATACGATACATTACATGTACTTACTTACTTGCCTTTACTGTACCAACTCTGTTCTTTCCACGTAATCATGTTTTTACAGTTATCGTTTGCTGTATATCTTCCAGCAAACTTTATTTCGTGTGAAGTGTATTTAATTAATTAAATCTCTGCGAAAGATTGAGAAGATGAAGGGATAATTCAAACTATGAAGACATGGTTACATGGAAAAGACAAGAGTTGATACAATAATAAAGACATACATGTATTTGTATCCTGCTGGCATAAGGTTATAGAAGTTGATTGAGATTGAAAAATAATAATGAAATAATAAAAAAAATAAAGACACATGTATTTGTATCGTGCTGGCATAAAGTTATAAAAGTTGATTGAGATTGAAAAATAATAATAAAAATAATTAAAAAAAGGAAATATTCAATCATCATTTAAAAGCATATTTGAAATCTGTAGAATAAACAGTTTTTGCAAAAAATGTGGAGCATTTGAGCTCTAGTAAGTCTAAAAATAAATGTAAACATCAATTAATAATAACTGATGTTATATATATATTATATATATAAACCAATTTGTTGCAATATTCACTATAAAAGGTTGTAAGGGTAAGATGGCTAAAAGTGAATAATTTAAAAGATAGTTAACATAATTTTACATAACTGAAATATTTCATAAATAAAATATTTGTAATATTTCGAAGTTTATGTAAGATTATGTAAAAATTATACCTTTACAAACTTTTTATAGTAAATATTGCGAGGAATCGATTTATATGAGAAAAATTAAGGTAATTCTATTTTGAAAAATATAAGTGACCTTTAAAATAACCTTGTTTTTGTCAACTTTTATCTACAAATTTAATAGAAAATGTATAAAAAAATGCTCGACATTAGTACACACACACACACACACACACATATGGGTAAATTTATATAAATAGGGTGCTTTAGGAGGAATGATCAGGATTCTAGGATATGATTGTACACATCATTTTAAGCAAAGAAGTTTAGATAAACATGTTTAATAATTGTTCTATTCCGGTCATAAAATATACAAAAATGAATGATATAATCTCTAAAAACTCACCTTTAAAAAAAGTAAAAAAAGGCGACCAGTTAAGGGCACGCCATTAACAAAAATTATCCATTGCAAACCCATGTAGAATCCTATCCATTGCAAACCATGAGAACTATGAAAAATTAATCATTGCAAACCCATGTAAACTAACATTATTAATTTAAACATCAAAACATATTTAAACTGTATGTAATTTAAAAGAACCATTTAATTGTAGATTGTTAGAACTATTATTTATTGCAAACCCAAGGTTTTTAAAAATTTTTGCATTCTTTTTCACATGGCGCATGTACTTGGCTTGGAAATCATGTTTAAATTTAATATTTAAAAGTTAATAAATGGTACAATTTCTACATTTGCAAATTTAAAATTTTAATGATTCATTATACACTCTAAAGATGTCTGCAAATTAAATTTGCCACTGGTAAAAGGTTATAATTTTCACTTGGCGCAATTTTTTTTTATTATTAATTTTGTACGTGGCCATGGGTGTAAAATCGATAATTTTTAAAAAATTCTATTGTACAAGGGGTTGCAATGTAGAAATTACATAGTTTAAATGGTTAATTTTTCATAGGTTAACATAAGGTTTGCAATAATTACGATTTACATGGGTTTGCAATGGTTAATTTGCTAGGATTTTACATTTTTTGCAATTGGTTAATTTTTTAATGGCGTTCCATGGACTTGGCATTTTTTTTACATTTTTTTTAAAGGTAAGTTTTTAGTAGATTATAATAATAACATTATTATTGTGGTGGTACCATTATACACACAAAATCTCAAATCACTTGGAAAAATTGGATTTTCTTTGAATTTTTATGAACATATAGTTTGCATATGGATCATTTTGGACAATTAAAAATTATTTATTTTCAACTTATTGTTTTTTAACAGTTGTTTTCAAATTCTAAATTAATTATTTGCAATTAATTTTTATTTATAATCAAAAATGAATATTTTCTGGGGATCTTGTTTATACGAATTTTTTGCCATTTTTTTGCATGAGTAAAAATACGCTTCTTAAATGCTCGCTATTATTTCTAATACATTTGTATGAATATAGCGGAATGTTATTTGTATTGTTATCTTATGCCTATTTCTAGTTTTATTTAAATAACCATACTTTATTTAGTATTGGTTATTCCATAAACGAAAGTATCCCAGTGCAAATGACTCTTATGACAATAAGTAGAAATATAGTAATATGCACGCATATATACATGTGTGTATAACTTTGTATATAATTACTTCAAAATATTACTACGTGGCGCCCTGCATTAAAATAAACATCCAAATGTGGCGGACGACGAGGCTCTCGACGCACGCGAAAGAACCAGCGGAAGTGATTTCTCAACCGTGTCTTATACCTAAGCCATCTATGAATTCTATGATGGGTAGTCGTAATACAATCTGGACTGTAACAATAACAAATCGTAATAATATATAAAAATGTAATGGTTTTTGTAATACTAATAGATAAAACACATAATAAATTAAATAAACTATCTATATATTGCAGTAAATAACTATTATATCATATTAAATATAGAAAATCAACATAAAAATTCATTAATAATCCAGTAAATGAATAATAATTATCTTAATTTTTATAATGTTATAAAGAAAAAAACTTGACATTGCATTTGAAGAATTAAATTATTTTGATTTTATTATTATAAAAAAAACAATTGAAATTTGTTCTTTTTAACGGCTTAAAACAGCTAGAAAAAATTTCATTTCATTAAATAGTAAACATACTTATATCCGATACGATCTTGTTTCGAACCTTATTGTTACTGTTTTATTTTTCAATAGAGTTAAGATAACATATTTAGATATAAGTTTGCTGTTTAATTATTACAAGGTTTAAAGAATTTGAAGTCTTGTTAACCTATAAACAAGAACACATGTTACTTGTGTTAGTACAGGTCGTATTTTGTTCTCAGTTGAAGATATCTCTTTATAAATATTAATACTTTTTTAACGCGCTAGTAAAAGAAAATTATGGCTTGATTAAACAATGAAATAGCAAACTGCATCTAAGAATTAGCATATGATTATGCATAATTAGATTTTTATATACGAAAAAATTTATTTCTGTTGAAAAATAAAACAGATATACGGATAAATACATATATTTATATAAACTTTTCCTGTATCCTAAATACATTGCAATATTTATTTTTTATTAAAAAACATCTTGCACATACACACACAAACACACACATACATTTTACATTATAAAAGTATATAACACATTGATGTTAAAAAATAAATATCGGTTTACCAGCACGCTTCAAAAGCAACTAGAATAACTGCCAAAACAATAACTAAAAAAATTAATAAAGCCAATACTATGAAAGCATCGAACATTATTCTCCAATTTGTCCCACAAATGCATATTAATATTTTTATTGATATCATCAGATGGTACATTTTTTTCAGTAGTACTTTTCGTATAAAATTCAATATGCGCTTTACTAATTGGTAGTATTACTATAAAAAATGCAAAATAATTCTTATCAATAATTCTATGCAATACCCAGATAGCCACAGTAATTATTATGACATCATTTTGATGTCGAAATGCATCATTTGCCATCAAACTAATGTCATAATAATTATTGTGGCTATCTGAGTAATTAATATAGTTATCATCAATTAATTTATTGATTAGTAACGAGAACATATTATTATGCAGACATATTTTTAATAAAACAAATTTATACGTATAATAAGATGTATATTATCACATAAATATTATTATATTTCTAATAAGCTCAGAAAATATATATTCTTAATTTTAATATTATTATATAATTCTTTTTATACTATTTTTTTTTTATAAATAATAAAAGAAAATAGAAAAATAAAAGTGTAAAACAACAAAAAATTTTAATTATCTAAATAGATCTTATTTATCATTATATTCATAAATTATGTCTTACCTGATAAGCATAGAAAGAAACTAATAATAGCAGCAAACGAATATAAAACTTGCTTTAAACTGTGCATTAATTTAATGAAATGCATCGTAAATATCTAACGATTTTATAACAAAATTTTTCAATAAGATTCGATATCACAATTGTTTTTATCCAAATTTACTGTGTTGCTTGCGTTATCAATATCGCGATACTGTATTACTTTCCTGTGGAAAACATTTATGGTAGCATAAAAAAAAATAAAATATTTAAGATTAGTGAAAAAAAAACTGTCATTAAAGAATATTTAAAATTCAGTTTAGTTATAATTAATATAATGTATATACCAATGGTCATTTTTGTAATAAATTTTTGATTAAAAAGTAGATTATGTCATAATTAAAGTAATAACTTTTGTTAAGTACACTAGAATATTTGAAAATTATTGATATAATTTCTTCTTCAAATTTGTTGTAAAATTGCGCGAAGAACAAAATATTTTTATTTGTTATTGGACTTTATAAGTCATAGCAACTGTAATAAATCATACAGTATCACATATAATAAGCAAAAACTTTTTGTTGATTCTGTATTTATTTACGATAAAGTCGTTATTTTTCTCTCAAATTCTTGCGTGTGAATTAATATCTCATATTATGACGAACAATTAATATTATGATTTTTTAATTAATAGACAAAATAATATGTAAGATAAAAGTATCTTTTAAAATTATCAATTTAAATTTTGCTTTTGATTTATATGTTCAACAATTTACTTACACATAATACAAAAAATATATTAAATCACATTAATAAATTTTGCGTATTTTAAATAATATGTGATAATAATATATATAAAAATGACAAGTGTCGATGTCGGTAAGTCTAGAATATATATAATTTTACAACAAAGAGCAATTTTGTTCTAATTATTTTATGTACCAAAACTTGTAATATATTATATATTATACATATATTGCAAGAACGGAATTTAAAAAATGACTCGGCGATATGCTATTTGAAATATACTATTATACAGGGTGTCCATCAAAAGTGGCCACCCCCTTTTATGTTGAAACTAAAAGAGATAAACCATAAAAATTATATATGTAATTAAATGGCTCAAACTGAACTTTTTTGTGAGCACAGTGGTTGCTTATAAAAACTATCTATGTTTAAGCCATTTAATTTCATATATAATTTTTATGGTCTATCACTTTTAGTTTCAAAGATAAAAGGGAGCCACTTTTGATGGAACATTCTGTATAGGTAAGATATTAATAATTACTTTTTTATAATATACCTTATAATTTATTTACTTTACCAGATGTTAATTGGATAGATTGTCTCTAAATTCGTTTAACACACGTGTAACAATGATACTACGACAGTAACGAAGTCACGTCTGACTTCTGAAAAAAGTAAACGGAATATTTATAAAATTTAGATCTATTTGCCTGACTTTTGTAGATCGCATGATATTGTTTATGTTTAAATGAGTTCATGTCATCATAAATTGTTTTGATATAGAAATTTTGACATTATATGTATATTGAAATCTTCATTTGGTCGTTATTTACACATTCTTCCTTAATTATTTTTAATAGGCTACAAACTATCGAACATCTTATAAATGATAATTGATATTCACATAGAGAAAAAAAATAAGATTAATTTTACATAAAGCACTTCCGATTCTTTTCTATTCTCTAAAAAGATGAAAAATATTCAACATAGACGAAACGTAATGGTTTTTCATTTAAATTACAAATTATTTGCAAATTATATTCAATAAAAAATATTAAAAACCCATATATTAAAAAGTTTATATTTGTGTTTGTATATATACGTATAAATTTAAAAATTTAAATTTTTTAAGTGATTGAGTTCTAAATAATAATAATTTTTGTATAATATACGCCTAATTAAAAAAAATAAAAAAACAGTGATTAAATATAAAGGCCATTATCGAGCTGAAATTCGAGATGTTCAGTATATTCTCATGTTAAATTATAAATACATCATTATATTAATTTAAAAACTAACGAAATTACGGACTTTACAATCCATTCTAAAACGTTTCCACCGCATTCTTCGATAAGTATTGAAAAAAAATTCTTACATTCATAATAGCGAGATTTAATTATAGTTTATTCAGAATCAAGAGGTTTTGAGCAATGAATGTTCAATCCGTTGTCCAACAATGTTATCGATATGACTAATTTTGTTCAGACAATAAAAAAATTTTTTTATGTAAAATTTTAATACAACAAGAAAAATGTATGAAATTAACATTTAATAAGCAATTTCGAAAACCTTTGTTAATATAAATTTTATATAAATATATATATGTAGTATCGGGACTCCATAACGCATGAGTGGGTGATGCGGAGAAGGTTGGGCAGAGGGCCTAGGTAGCTAATGGTTAGAACAATCGCCCGGGAAGCGGAAGGGTCCGGGTTCGAGTCCCGGTTTAGTCACCCGAAGGCCTGATTCTTTTTCGCGGTCCCATATATATATATATATATATATACAAGGGTGGTCTGAAAAGTTTCTGACCTTAACATGAAGACGACAGCACTCATCAATAAAAGTTAGGGAATGTGTTTGCGCATCTTTTAAAAAATACCAAAATTTCTAGCCATTTTGGACGCGCAGTTGTTTGACAATCGTTTGAGTGAGTCGATGTGAGTGTTTTTATAAAAATGGAAAAAATCGAATATCGAGCTGTCATTAAATATTTTTTGGCGAAAATCCACGAATTACGGTTTGAACTGCTTGACCACTCTCCTTACTCATCAGATCTAGCCCCAGGCGACGTTTTTTGTACTCTAAGCTAAAAGTTGCGCTGGAGGACAAAGATTTCGTCAATCGAGGAGGCCATTACCTTCGTAAACAATTATTTTGCCGAGTACTATTTGGTCGAATTAAAGAGATGAAAGCATCGCTGGGAGAAGTGTGACTTACAAAGAGACTATGTAGAAAAATAAAATAAATTTAAAGAAAAAAGTGTCTTGTATCTTTGTTAGGTCGGAAATTTTTCAGACCACCCTCGTATATATATCAAGAGACGCGGTAGTATCTTGTGCTATGTCCGTAAAAGAAAGAAAGAGACACGCGTGTCTCTTTACGCAAGGCAGTTGAGAGTACTCGATATTTTCAGTTCTCATATAACTGCTGAAACGGATCGAGTTCTAAATATAGTCTTAATCGAAAGATTGAGTCTTAATTTTATAATGAAAGTGTTTTTATTTTTACGCTAACGTGCTATATAAACAGAGAACTCATATGTGCAAAATCTCTATCGTGAAAATTTCAAGTAGAAAACGTCTCCGTCGTCGTCATTATCATCGTAGACCACTTTTTTGATATATATATATTATATATATATAAATATTTATATACATATAAAAATGTCAAAAGTCAATCACAAAAATGGCAAAGGCCATAATAGGCCACACTACAAAGAATCGCATAGCAGGGCGTTGCATTTTTTATATATATAATATTTATACAAATTGCATAGATAATAAGCAATAGATATATATATAGCACATATATATACATATTAATATACATATATATATAATAATATATACATATTTTTATATACACACACATATATATATATATATATATACATATTTTTTGTATATTTAATTAAATATATTTGATTAAATATATATTTGAAAGAATTATATTTATTCTTTATGTATATGTGTAGCAATGGTAATATGTTTTACATCTATAAATTCTTTTTGCGTTATTATAACCTCTTTCTGAGATTGTTACATGAGAGTTACATGATATAATATACTTATGCCAAATATTTACGTATATAAATAACTTTTTTATCAATTTATGTAAATAAATATTAAAAATTAAAAATTAAAAAAAATAAATGTATAGTACAAAAAAAGAGTGACATCCCCAAAAAAAGTACCTTTTAAAAAAAAGTTAAAAAAAGATGCTAAGTCCGCGTAATGTCTCTGTAAAAAATATCCTACAAAAATTAATAATATAAAAAAATTATGCTAAGTAAAAATAAAAACTTTAAAAATTTTAATTTTATTTTTAATTAATTAAACAGATTATATAAAATAATTTTTTAATTCCCTACATCCTACAAAAATAATAAAAAATTTGCAATAATTAAAAACATTAAAATAAAAAAAATAAAAATTAATAAAATTTTTTTAAATATATAAAAATTAAAAATTTTTTTAAATTAAAAAATATAAATTTTTTTTAAAATAAAAAATTAAAAAAACTTAGCACTGCGTAATTAACAAACAATAATTAAAATTAATGTTTTCTTCGCTTGAAATCCTTCAATTAAAGTTTAGCAATGCTAAGTTTTTTTAATTTTTTTAATTAAAAAAATATATAATTTTATATTAATAAACTTGCTTTTGTACTAAATTACATTATTTTAAATACTTACAAATAACAGTCATACAGTCATGCGTATTTTATTGTCGAAAAATTAATTATTTAAACTGAAAACATTTTATTACTTTATTTTAATTTTCACTTTGCATAAATTTTGAATTGTATGCAACAAATTTAGAATCAACAATCAACTTTATATTAAATTTAATATTGGCACAATTCGTTTTCATGGCTAATCCATAATTAATTTGCAATATTATTTTCACAAGTATCTTAACAAAAATAAAACTTAATAATGGGACAATTCTTAATAATTGATTTTATTTATAAATTTTAATATCACACAGTTTATTATGTTAACAACATTTGTCAATGTAAGCACTAATAGCGATATAAATGTGGTACATATGTGCCGACATTAATGCTAGAAATTAATTATATAAAACATATGCTTACTATAAATATGTCTTAAAAAATCATAATCCGAATATATGTATATGTTCATACAAATTAATATATGTATACGTTGTTAAGAGTGCCCGGGACAACCTGTATATATGTATATGTATATATATATATATATATATATATATATATATATATACATATATGTTTGTGTCTGTCTGACAGCAATTACTTCCACATTTATGGACTGTTTTCGTGAAACCGGTGCAAAAAATTTTTTTCCTCCTTTTATGGAATGATATTACGTTACTTTTTTGTTCTTTTTTTTGTTCGTTTTTCTTTTTAATTTAATGTCAATGAGCAATGAGCATGCAATTTGTTACTTGAGAATTAAATAAAAAAGAAGTGAGGAAAAATAAACAGAAACAAAACCACATCTTAACATCCATCCCCGTAACATTAGGAACATTTTGGTACCTGTTTCGTGAAAATCGATCCAGAAATCTAGATATAATCCGCAATCAAACAGAGAAAATTATAAATAAATAAAAAAAAAGTTAAACAATGGCTTTGAGGTCCGTGCAAAGATCGGACCAAAACGAAAGTATATACATAAGGTTCTAAAAAATATTAATATTTTTCAAGTGTCTACAATAACATAAAATGAAATAATTAAAATAGGTGTTCTACTAAATTAAAAATTTTTAAAATATTGTGGCTCTTATAGCTTTTAATTTTATGAATTGTATGTATGAATTATTATTAATTATTACATATTTCTCTCATTGTGATTATATTATTACATAATTATATATAATATATATTTTCTTGCTTAACAATTAATCGTGGAGCAACGTACGCATTATCAGAATAACTTGAAATTGAGATTCGAACATAATGACATACTTACGAGATCTTATTAATATCATAAATAAATAATATTTACTACATAACGTTGTACACGTTGTAAAGTGTAATGGTTTGTACAACCATTCATGTTAACTTCCAAATTAATAATATTCTACTTTTTCTTCATCTGACACCTGCAATATTGAAAATAGATTAATAAAATTATTAATATAATAAAAAACTAATTAATACGTACGTGTAAGTATAATAATTAATGATGAAAAAAATTTTAGAAGCAAATTGTACTCATTATAAGAATGAAAAAAGTCATATAAATATAAGTCCACAACCGCCATCTTTCTACAAACATCTCTCGTTTATGGAAAAGTTTTTAGTTGGAACATTTAGTTGAACAAAAACGATAGGAATAAGTATATATAAAATTTCTGTATAATAATGCATTTATATGGATTTAAAGAAATTAATTTATAATCATTTTTCATATGTAAAAACTTTTGCTTAGGTTTCTGTTAATTAATTGAAACTAAAGATGTTTTGTACGTATATAATAATATAATAATTATTATTATTGCGTATATATAAAGTAAGATTGCATATAATTATCATATATAATAATAATATATAAATATATAATAATAATATTATTATTGTATACACGTATAACACAAAATTCGAAATACTTTGGAAAAGTTGGATTATTATTGAATATTATGCTACATTAATGCGAGATAATTATGGATTATTGTAAAAAAAAAATTATTTATTTCAACTTATTGTTTTTTAACAAAATTTTTTAGTCAAATTCTAAATAAATTATTTATGTAATTAATGTATATATAATCAAAAAAAGAGTATTATCTGGATTCTTGTTTATACGAATCTTTTTCATTTCTTGGATGAGTGAAATATGCTTCTAAATGCTTCACTATTATTTTTAATACATTTTGTATGTTTAAAGCGGACTTGTTTGTATTGTTTTCTTATGCCTATTTCTAGTTTTAGTTAAAATAACCATACTTCATTTAATATGGTTATTCCATAAACGAAAGTATCCCAGTGCAAATGTACTCTTATTGACAATAAGTAGAAATATATAAATATGCACGCATACATACATGTGTGTATAAACTTTGTATATAATTACTTCAAATATTACTTACGTGGCGCATTGCATAAAAATGAACGTCCAAATCTGGCGGACGACGAGGCTCTCGACGCACGCGAAAGAGCCGGCGAAAGTGATTTCTCAACCTGTGTCTTATACCTAAGCCATCTATGAATTCTATGATGGGCGTAACACAATCTGGACTGTAACAATGACGAATCGTAATAATATATAAAAATGTAATGGTTTTTGTAATACTAATAGCTAAAACACATAATAAATTAAATAAACTATCTATATATTGTAGTAAATAACTATTATATCATATTAAATATAGAAAATCAACATAAAAATTCATTAATAATCCAGTAAATGAATAATAATTAACTTAATTTTTATAATGTTTATAAAGAAAAAAACTTGACATTGCGTTTGAAGAATTAAATTATTTTAACTTTATTATTATAAAAAAAACAATTAAATTTGTTCTTCTTAACGGCTTAAAACAGCTAGGAAAAAATTTCATTTAAATAGTAAACATACTTATATTCGATACGATCTTGTTTCCGAAACTTATTGTTACTGTTTTATTTTTCAATAGAGTTAAGATAACATATTTAGATACAAATTTGCTGTTTAATTATTACAAGATTTAAAGACTATGAAATCTTGTTAACCTATAAACAAGAACACATGTTACTTGTGTTAGTACAGGTCGTATTTTGTTCTCAGTTGAAGATATCTCTTTATAAAAATATTAATACTTTTCTAACGCGCTAGTAAAAGAAAATTATGGTTTGATTAAACAATGAAATAGCAAACTGCATCTAGGAATTAGCATATGATAATGCATAACTAGATTTTTATATACGGAAAAATTTAATTCTGTTGAAAAATAAAACAGACATACAAATAAATATATATATTTATATAAACTTTTTTTGTATCTTAAATACAATGCAATATTTATTATTTATTAAAAAACAACTTGCACATACACACACAAACACATACACGATTAATAAATAAAAATACACATTAATGTTAAAAAATAAATATCGGTTTACCAGCACACTTCACAAGCAAGTAGAGTAATTGTCAAAGCACAAATTAAAAAGATAAGTATAAAAATTAATATTAAAGCTTCGAATATTATTTCTCCAATTTGTTTCCAAGATGCATTTAAATATATTTTATTGATATCATCAGATGGTAAATTTTCCTCAGTAGTACTTTTCGTATAAAATTTAATATGCGCTTTACTAATTGGTAGTATTACTATAAAAAATGGAAAATAATTCTTATCAATAATCCTATGCAATACCCAGATAGCCACAGTTATTATTATGACATCATTTTGATGGCAAATGATGCATTTTGACATTAAAATGATGTCATAATAAATTACTGTGGCTATCTGGGTAATAATATATAGTTATCATCGATTAATTTATTGATTAGTAACGAAAACATATTATTATGCAGACATATTTTAATAAAACAAATTTATACGTAATAAGATATATATTATCACATAAATATTATTATATTTCTAATAAGCTCAGAAAATATATATTCTTAATTTTAATGTTATTATATAATTTCTTTTAAACTTATTTTTTTTGATAATTAATAAAAGAAAACAATAAAGTAAGAGTGTAAACAAAAAAAATTTTAATTATTAAATAAATCTTATGTATTATTATATTCATAAATTATCGTCTTACCTGATAAGTATAGAAAGAAACTAATAATAGCAGCAAACGAATATAAAACTTGCTTTAAACTGTGCGTTAATTTAATGAAATGCATCGTAAATATCTAACGATTTTATAACAAAATTTATCAATAAGATTCGAGATCACAATGTTCTTATCCAAATTTACTGTGTTGTTTGTTATCAATATCGCGATACTGTATTACTTTCCTGCAGAAAACATTTATGGTAGCATGAAAAAAAAATAAATAAATATATATTTTTATGGTTTATCACTTTTAGTTTCAAAGATGAAAAGGGGCCACTTTTGATAGGACATCCTGTATATGTAAGATATTAATAATTACTTTTTTATAATATACCTTATAATTTATTTACTTTACCAGATGTCATTTGGATAGATTGTCTCTAGATTCGTTTAACACCGTGTAACAATGATACTACGACAGTAACGAAGTCACGTCTGACTTCTGAAAAATGTAAACGGGATATTTATAAAATTTAGATCTATTCGCCTGACTTTTGTAGACTCTCATGAATATTGTTTATGTTTAAATGAGTTCATGTCATCATAAATTGTCTTGATATAGAAATTCTGACATTATATGTATATTGAAATCTTTTATTTGCTCGTTATTTACACATTCTTCCTTAATTATTTTTAATAGGCCACAACTCTATCGAACATCTTATAGATTGATAATTGATATTCACATAGAGAAAGAAATATAGATTAATTTTTACATAAAACACTTCCGATTCTTTTTCTATTCTCTAGAAAGGTGACGAAATTATTCAACATAAACGAAACGTAATGGTTTTTCATTTAAATTACAAATTATTTGCAAATTATTCAATAAAAAGTATTTAAAATTCCATATATTAAAAAGTTTATATTTGTGTTTGTATATATACGTATAAATTTTAAAAACTTTAAATTTTTTTTAAGTTATTGATTTCTAAATAATAATAATTTTTTTACATAATATACGCTACTTAATAAAAATAACAAATTATTTTTATGTAAAATTTTTAATACAACAAAGAAAAATGTATGAAAATAAACATTTAATAAGCAATTTCGAAAACCCTTGTTAATATATAATTTTATATTATAATATATATATATATATATTTCATATTAATAGATTTGTTTTGTAATTAATTACATTACTTTAAATATCTACATATCACAGTCATACAGTCATACGTATTTTTTAGTTCAAAAATTAATTATTTAAATTAGAAACATTTTATTACTTTGTTTTAATTTTCACTTTGCATAAATTTTAAATTGTATGCAACATACTTAGAATCAACTTTATATTAAATTTAATTTTGGCACAATTTGTTTTCATGGCTAATCCATAATTAATTTGCAATATTATTTTCACAGGTATTCTTAACAAAAATAAAACTTAATAATGGGACAATTTCTTAATAATTGTATTTTATTAATAAATATTTAGTATCACACAGTTTATTATGTTAACAAACATTTGTCAATGTAAGCATTAATAACGATATAAATGTGGTACATAGGTGCCGACATTAATGCTAGAAATTAATTATATAAAACATGTATATGTTCATGTGCAAATTAATATATGTATACATAATATATATATATTAAACAATATAATTTGCAATATTACAATTTGCATATTTGTACAAGCCATGCATTTTATAGATATTCATAATATTATTATTATTAATATTGATAAAATATAGTACAATAAAAACATACAATGTTTTTAACTACTCGCATTTTAAAAATTAAGTAGAATAAAAAACCTTTATATAAAAATGTTGAAATTATAATTATAGTTAAGTTCTGTTTCAAGTTATTTATTTATGTGTAAACTTATATTTGATTTCACAGCAACTTGCTGACATTTATTCATTAATAATTAATAAGTTCTATTATTAAAAGTTGTATTATTTATATAAATGTGATCTGTACAAGATTGTCATGAATATAAATAATTTAGTAAAACATTGGATAAATTAATTACTTGTAACATTTACACTATATGTACACATACTATTACACATATATATATAATATTTACACATATAAATAATATTTCCACATAAAAAAACTATAATTCAAAATGATTGGAAATATACAGATCAATATTACAATGTAATATAAAACATGCAAATAATATACAATGCGTATATGTATTTAAATACGATTGTACAAGTTTTGTACAATGATTTACATATACAGTTGCAAATTTGTAAGTTTAGATTATACATAGATATTGATCAACCTTTTGAATTACAACAAATTTTATTATTTATAATAAAGTTTATTATAACTGAATATATATATATATATATATACAGGGTGTCCTATAATTCGCGAATCACCTTTCATGGGCAGATAGAGCGTGTTAAACTGAATAGAAAAGTCTTGTATCATTTTGCGATATTCGCAATAATTGTTGAGTTATTAACTAAAATATCTAAACGAGTAAGCGGGTAGAAAGCGGTAGGCCGGACTCGGTGTGCATGTCGGATGACTTATTTGTTATATGCCGCTTAGTATCAAAAGTATCATCTTACTTTTCGGCGCCACTACATTGGTCGCCGCTCGCTGCATGGCGCCACCTCTCGATCAAATAATGCTTTCTACCTGCTTATTCGTTTAGATATTTTAATAAATAACTCAATAATTATTGCGAATATCGCAAAATAATACATGAATTTTCTATTCAGTTTAACACGCTCTATCTGCCCATTCGCGGTGGTTCGCGAATTATGGGACACCCTGTATATTTATTCCAACATTTTCATAAAAGATTCAATTTTTATTAATTATAAAAATTGTTAATGCATTTCATCATACGTTTTCGGCGTTAGAAATATAAGTCAAGTCCTCAGATAATCATTATTTTTATCATCTTAATTTTTTCATATATTCACAATATATTAAAATTTGTAATAATGTAAAATAATGTTATTACTAAATAAATAAAATTATTTGAAACATTTTATGTGCAGAAATGCCAATATTGTTTCTGGAAATAAATCTTCTTAATTTTAATTTTACAATTTAGTTTATATTATTTACCAACTTTCTCAAACATAAAGTTGTGCTATTAAAATTAATAAAATTTTTTATAAATTGTGGCCCTTGAATAGCTTTTAAATTTTATGAATTGTATATATGAATTCTTATTAATTATCACATATTCCTCTCATTGTGATTATATTATTACATAATTATGTATAATATATATTTTCTTGCTTAACAATTAATCGTGGAGCAACGTACGCATTATCAGAATAACTTGAAATTGAGATTCGAACATGATAACATACTTACGAGATCTTACTAGTATCATAAATAAGTAATATTTTACTACATAACGTGTACAAACCATCCATGTTAACTTTCCAAATTAATAACGTTCTACTTCTTCTTCATCTGACGACTGCAATATTAGAGATAGATTAATTAATATTATTAATATAATAACTATTAATATGTACGTGTAAGTATAATAATTAATAATGAAAAAAGTTTAAAAGCAAATTGTACTCATTATACAGAATGAAAAAAGTCATATAAATATAAGTCCACAACCGCCACTTTCTACAAACATCTCTCGTTTATGGAAAAGTTTTTAGTTGGAACATTTAGTTGAACAAAAAAACGATAAGAATAAGTATATATAAAATTTCTGTATAATAATGCATTTATATGGATTTAAAGAAATTAATTTATAATCATTTTTCACATGTAAAAACTTTTGCTTAGGTTTCTGTTAATTAATTGAAACTAAAGATGTTTTGTACGTATATAATAATATAATAATAATTATTATTGCGTATATGTATATAATAGTATTATTGCATATAATTATCATATATAATAATAATATATAATATATAATAATAATAATATTATTGTTATACACGTATAACACAAAATTCGAAATACTTTGGAAAAGTTGGATTATCTTTGAATATTTATGCTACATTAATGCGAGATATAATTGTGGATTATTGTGAAAAAAAATTATTTATTTCAACTTATTTTTTTAACAAAATTTTTTAGTCAAATTCTAAATAAATTATTTATGTAATTAATGTATATATAATCAAAAAAGGAGTATTATCTGGATTCTTGTTTATACGAATCTTTTTCATTTCTTCGATGAGTGAAATATGCTTCTAAATGCTTCACTATTATTTTTAATACATTTTGTATGTTTAAAGCGGACTTGTTTCTCTTGTTTTCTTATGCCTATTTCTAGTTTTATTTAAAATAACCATACTTTATTTAGTATGGTTATTCCATAAACGAAAGTATCCCGGTGCAAATGTACTCTTATTGACAATAAGTAGAAATATATAAATATGCACGCATATATACATGTGTGTAAAAACTTTGTATATAATTACTTCAAATATTATTTACGTGGGGGCCTGCATTAAAATGAACGATCAAATGTGACGGACGACGAGGCTCTCGACGCACGCGAAAGAGCCGGCGGAAGTGATTTCTCAACCTGTGTCTTATACCTAAGCCATCTATGAATTCTATGATGGGCGTAATACGATCTGGACTGTAACAATGACGAATCGTAATAATATATAAAAAATGTAAAGGTTTTTATAATACTAATAGCTAAAACACATAATAAATTAAATAAACTATCTATATATTGCAGTAAATAACTATTATAACATATTAAATATAGAGAATCAACATATAAATTTGTTAATAATCCAGTAAATGAATAATAATTATCTTAATCTTTATTATGTTTATAAAGAAAAACTTGACATTGCATTTGAAGAATTAAATTATTTTGATTTTATTATTATAAAATAGAACAATTAAAATTTGTTTTTTTAACGGCTTAAAACAGCTAGGAAAAAATTTCATTTAAATAATAAACATACTTATATCCGATACGATCTTGTTTCCGAACCTTATTGTTACTGTTTTATTTTTCAATAGAGTTAAGATAACATATTTAGATACAAGTTTGCTGTTTAATTATTACAAGATTTAAAGAATTTGAAGTCTTGTTAACCTATAAACAAGAACAAATGTTACTTGTGTTAGTACAGGTCGTATTTTGTTTTAAGTTGAAGATATCTCTTTATAAATATTAATACTTTTTTAACGCGCTAGTAAAAGAAAATTATGGCTTGATTAAACAATGAAATAGCAAACTGCATCTACAAATTAGCATATGATTATGCATAATTAGATTTTTATATACGGAAAAATTTATTTCTGTTGAAAAATAAAACAGATATACGGATAAATACATATATTTATATAAACTTTTCTGTATCCTGAATACATTGCAATATTTACCATTTATTAAAAAACATCTTGCACATACACACACAAACACATACATACATTTAATATTATAAAAGTATATACACATTAATGTTAAAAAATAAATATCGGTTTACCAGTACACTTCACAAGCAAGTAAAGTAATTGTCAAAACAAAAATTGATAAGATAAATAAAGCCAATACTATGAATACATCCAACATTATTTCTCCAATTTGTTTCCAAGATGCATTTAAATATATTTTATTAATATCATCAGATGGTACATTTTCTTCAGTAGTACTTTTCGTATAAAATTCAATATGCGCTTTACTAATTGGTAGTATTACTATAAAAAATGCAAAATAATTCTTATCAATAATCCTATGCAATACCCAGATAGCCACAGTAATTACTATAACATCATTTTGATGGCAAATGATGCATTTTGACATTAAAATGATGTCATAATAACTACTGTGGCTATCTGGTTAATTAATATAGTTATCATTGATTAATTTATTGATTAGTAACGAGAACATATTATTATGCAGACATATTTTTAATAAAACAAATTTATACGTAATAAGATATATATATCACATAAATATTATTATATTTCTAATAAGCTCAGAAAATATATATTCTTAATTGTAATGTTATTATAAAATTTTTTTATATTTATTTTTTTTTGATAAATAATAAAATAAAACAGAGAAGTAAGAGTGTAAAACAAAAAATTTTAATTATCTAAATAGATCTTATGTATTATTATATTCATAAGTTATTGTCTTACCTGATAAGCATAGAAAGAAATTAATAATAGCAGCAAACGAATATAAAACTTGCTTTAAACTGTGCGTTAATTTAATGAAATGCATCGTAAATATCTAACGATTTTATAACAAAATTTATCAATAAGATTCGATATCACAATTGTTCTTATCCAAATTTACTGCGTTGCTTGCGTTATCAATATCGCGATACTGTATTACTTTCCTGCAGAAAACATTTATGGTAGCAAGAAAAAAAATTAAATATTTAAGATTAGTGAAAAAAAACTGTCATTAAAGAATATTTAAAATTCAGTTTAGTTATAGTTAATATAATGTATATACCAATGTCATTTTTGTAATAAATTTTCGATTAAAAAGTAGATTATATTTGTCATAATTAAATTAATAACTTTTTGTTAAAGCAAACTAGAATATTTGTAAATTTATGATATAATTTCTTCTTCAATATTTGTAAAATTGCGCGAAGAACAAAATATTTTTATTTGTTATTGGACTTTATAAAGTCATAGCAACTGTAATAAATCATACAGTATCACATATAATAAGCAAAAACTTTTTGTTGATTCTGTATTTATTTACGATAAAGTCGTTATTTTTCTCTTCGAATTCTTGCGTGTGAATTAATATCTCACATTATGACGAACAATTAATATTTTGATTTTTAATTAATATGACAAAATAATATGTAAGATAAAAGTATCTTTTAAAAATTATCAATTTAAATTTTGCTTTTGATTTATATGTTCAACAATTTACTTACACATAATACAAAAATTATATTAAATCACATTAATAAATTTCGCGTATTCTAAATAATATGTGATAATAAATATATATAAAAATGACAAGTGTCGATGTCGGTAAGTCTAGAATTATATATTAATTTTACAACAAAGAGCAATTTTGTTTTAATTATTTTATGTACCAAAACTTGTAATATATTATATATTATACATATATTGCATAAACGAGAATTCAAAAATGACTCGGCGATATGCTATTTGAAATATACTATTATACAGGGTGTCCCATCAAAAGTGGCCACCCCCTTTTATGTTTGAAACTAAAAGAAATAGACCATAAAAATTATATATAAAATTAAATGGCTTAAACTGAACTTTTTTGTGAGCACAGTGATTGCTTATGAAAACTATCTATGTTTAAGCCATTTAATTTCATATATAATTTTTATAGTCTATCACTTAGTTTCAAAAATAAAAGGGGGCCACTTTTGATGGGACATCCTGTATATGTAAAATATGAATAATTACTTTTTTTTATAATATACCTTATAATTTATTTACTTTACCAGATGTCATTTAAATAGATTGTCTCTAGATTCGTTTAACACACGTGTAACAATGATACTACGACAGTAACGAAGTCACGTCTGACTTCTGAAAAATGTAAACGGGATATTTATAAAATTTAGATCTCCTCGCCTGATTTTTGTAGGCTCGTATAATATTGTTTATGTTTAAATGAGTTCATGTCATCATAAATTGTTTTGACATAGAAATTCTGACATTATATGTATATTGAAATCTTTCATTTGCTCGTTATTTACACATTCTTCCTTAACTAATTTTAATAGGCCACAACTGTATCGAACATCTTATAGATCGATAATTGATATTCACATAAAGAAAGAAATATAGATTAATTTTTACATAAAGCACTTCCGATTCTTATTCTATTCTCTAGAAAAATGACGAAATTATTCAATAAAAAGTATTTAAAATTCCATATATTAAAAAGTTTATATTTGTGTTTATATATATACGTATAACATTTAAAAATTAAAAATTTTTTTAAGTTATTGATATCTAAATAATAATCACTTTTTTACATAATATACGCTAAAATAATAAAATGACCAATTATTTTTATGTAAAATTTTTAATACAACAAAGAAAAATGTATGAAAATAAACATTTAATAAGCAATTTCGAAAATCTTATTAATATATAATTATATTTATTCATATATATATATATATATATATTTATTTATATTAATAAATTTCTTTTACTTTATGAATTACATTACTTTAAATACTTACATATACACATCGTATTTTTCGGTTCAAAAATTAATCATTTAAATTGAAAACATTTTTATTTTTTTGTTTTAATTTTTAATTTTTTGCATAAGTTTTAAATTTTTGCAACAAACTTAGAATCAACTTTATATTAAATTTAATTTTGACAGAATTCGTTTTCATGGCTAATCCATAATTAATTTGCAATATTAATTTCACAGGTATTCTTAACAAAAATTAGACTTAATAATGGAACAATTTCTTAATAATTGAATTTTATTTAATTATTTTTAATATCACACAGTTTATTATGTTAACAAACATTTGTCAATGTAAGCACTAATAGCGATATAAATGTGGTACATATATGTGCCAATATTAATGCTAAAATTTAATTATGTAGAACATATGCTTACTATACATCTTAAAAACTCATGATTTGAACATATGTATATATTTATCGTCTTAATATATATATATATATATATATATATATATATATTCATACAAATTAATATATGTATACATAATGTATGTATATATTAAGCTATAAAATTTGCAATATTATAATTTGCATATTTGAACAAACCATGCATTTTATAGATACTCATATTATTATTTTTATTATTATTAATATTGCTAAATATATAGTACAATAAAAAGATACAAAATTTTAACTTCTCGCATTTTGAAAATTAAGTAGAATAAAAAACTTTTATATGAAAATGTTGAAATTATAATCATAAATTAAGTTCTCACAAGTTATTTAATTATGTGTAAACTTATATTTAAAATCACAGCAACTTGCTGACATTTATTCACTAATAATTAATAAGTTCTATTATCGAAAAGTTATATTATTTATATAAATGTGATCTATACAAGATTGTCATGTATATAAATAATTTAGTAAAACATTGGATAATAAATTAATGACATGTAACATTTACACATAATATTACACATATATACAATATTTGCACATAAAAAACTAGAATTTAAAATAAGTGATCTATATATTTCCACTCATTTTGATTTATAGTTCTCTTATTGTAATATTGATCTAAGATTATTATTACGATGTAATATTAAAACTTGCAAAATATACAATGTGTATATCTATTTAAATACAGTTGTACAAGTTTTGTACAATGATTTATACAGGGTGTCCGGTAACTAACGGACCAATGATTAAAAGCGGATTCTCTTGTCAATTTGGAGACGATTTTTTCTTAGCAAAAATGTTGAGAAGTCAATAATTTTTGAGTTCTAAGCGATTGAAAAAAATGGGTTTTTTGAAAACTAAACGTTTTGGAGTTAAAAGTTTATAATTACATTCTTCAGTTAATTTCAGGTAGAGTTTACCATAATAAAATTTTAATTTGAGGTTTAGTTATAAACATACATAATGACAAATATTGGAAAGTTGTAAAAAATGATGACTTTTTTCGACATTTTCGCTGAAGAAAAATCGTTCCCAAATTGACCAAAGAATCCATTTGTGATCATTGGTCCGTTAGTTACCGGACACCCTGTAGCTACAAATTTGTAAGTTTAAATTATGCGTAGATATTGATCAATCTATTCAAATTACAATAAATTTTATTATTTATAATAAAGTTTATTATCACTGAATATATATATTTATTGCAAAATTTTCATAAAATGATTCAATTCTTATTAATTATAAAAAATTGTTAATGCATTTTATCATACGAATTGGGCGTTAGGCATATAAGCCAAGTGATCAGATAATCATTATTTTTGATTATCTTAATTTTTTCATATAATCACAATATATTAAAATTTGTAATAAACTAAAATAATGTTATTATTACTAAATAGATAAAATTATTTGAAACATATCATATATGTAGGAATACTAATATTGTTTCTGTGAAAGAAATCCTAATTTAAATTTTACAATTTAGTTTAAATTATTTATTAACTTCCTCATGTGTGTATGTGTGCGTGTGTGTATGGAAGTAAATTGCGGTCAGACAGACACAGACAATGGAAGAAAATTATCTAGATGTTTATATGTATATACATATATATATATATATATATATATATATACATATATGTATGTATGTATGCATGTATATATACAAGGTGTCTGGGAACACTCTTAACAACGTTTGTGTGATGATAGAGCGCATCGATATGAACGAAAAAGTCTTATATCATTTTGCAATATCTTTAATAATAACCGAAATATCTAATGTTAAAGTCAAGCGAGTAAAAGAAATAAAGTCAAGTGAATAAGAAAAAGTTTTATTAAAATATTGCAAAATGGTATAAGACTTTTTCGTTCGTCTCGATTCGCTCTATCACCACACAAACGTTGTTAAGGGTGTTCCGGGACACTTTGTATATATGTGTGTATATATATATATATATATATATATATATATATATCTGTGTCTGTCTGATCGCAATTTACTTCCACATTTATGGACTGATTTTCGTGAAACCGGTACAAAAATTTTCCTCCTTTTCCGTGGAATGATATTACGTGGTTTTTTGTTCTTTTTTTTTGTTTGTTCTTACTTTTAATTTAATGTCAATAAGCATGCAATATTGTCACTTGAGAATTAAATAAAAAAGAAGTGAGGAAAAAATTAACGGAAACAAAACCACATCTTAACATCCATCCCCGTAACATTAGGAACATTTTGGTACCTGTTTCGTGAAAATCGATCCAGAAATCTAGATATAATTCGCAATCAAACAGAGAAAATTATAAGTAAATAAAAAAAAGTTAAACAATGGCTTTGAGTTCCGTGCAAAGATCGGACCAAAACGAAAGTATATACATAAGGTTCTAAAAAATATTAATATTTTTCAAGTGTCTATAATAACATAAAATGAAATAATTAAAATAGGTGTTCTATTAAAATTAATAAAATTTTTAAAATATTGTGGCTCTTATAGCTTTTAAATTTTATGAATTGTATATATGAATTATTATTAATTATTACATATTTCTCTCATTGTGATTATATTATTACATAATTATATATAATATATATTTTCTTGCTTAACAATTAATCGTGGAGCAACGTACACATTATCAGAATAACTTGAAATTGAGATTCGAACATGATGACATACTTACGAGATCTTATTAATATCATAAATAAGTAATATTTTACTACATATAACGTGTACAAACCATCCATGTTAACTTTCCAAATTAATAACGTTCTACTTCTTCTTCATCTGACGACTGCAATATTAGAGATAGATTAATTAAAATTATTAATATAATAATAACTATTAATACGTACGTGTAAGTATAATAATTAATAATGAAAAAAGTTTACAAGCAAATTGTACTCATTATAAAAATGAAAAAAATCATATAAATATAAGTCCACAACCGCCATCTTTCTACAAACATCTCTCGTTTATGGAAAAGTTTTTAGTTGGAACATTTAGTTAAACAAAAACGATAGGAATAATTAAATATAAAATTTCTGTATAATAATGCATTTATATGGATTTAAAGAGATTAATTTATAATCATTTTTCACACGTACAAACTTTTGCTTAGGTTTCTATTAATTAATTAAAACTAAAGATGTTTTGTACGTATATAATAATATAATAATAATAATTATTGCGTATATATAATGTTATTATTGCATATAATTATCATATATAATAATAATATATAATATAAAATATATAATATATAATATATAATAATAATATTATTATTGTTGTACACGTATAACACAAAATTCGAATTACTTTGGAAAAGTTGAATTATCTTTAAATATTTATGCAACATATAATTGTGGATAATTGTGAAAAAAATTATTTATTTTAACTTATTGTTTTTAACAAAGTTTTTTAGTCAAATTTTAAATAAATTATTTATGTAATTAATGTATTTATAATCAAAAATAGAGTAGTTTCTGGATTCTTGTTTATACAAATCCTTTTCATTTCTTGGATGAGTGAAATATGCTTCTAAATGCTTCACTATTATTTCTAATACATTTTGTATGTTTATAGCGGACTCGTTTGTATTGTTATCTTGTGCCTATTTTTAGTTTTAGTTAAAATAACCATACTTTATTTAGTACGGTTATTCCATAAACGGAAGTATTCTAGTGCAAATGTACTCTTATTGACAATAAGTAGAAATATATAAATATGCACGCATATATACATGCGTGTATAAACATTGTATATAATTACTTCAAATATTACTTACGTGGCGCCCTGCATTAAACGAACGTCCAAATGTGGCGGACGACGAGGCTCTCGACGCACGCGAAAGAGCCGGCGGAAGTAATTTCTCAACCTGCGTCCTATAAATAAGCCATCTATGTATTCTAAGATGGGCGTAACATAATCTGGACTGTAACAATAACCCATCGTAATAATATATAAAAATGTAATGGTTTTTGTAATACTAATAGCTAAAACACATAATAAATTAAATAAACTATCTATATATTGCAGTAAATAACTATTATGTTATATTAAATATAGAAAATCAACATATAAATTTGTTAGTAATTTAGGAAACAAATAATAATTATCTTAATCTTTATAATGTTTATAAAGAAAAAAACTTGACATTGCATTTAAAGTATTAAATTATTTTGATTTTATTATTATAAAAAAGGAACAATTAAAATTTGTTTTTTTTAACGGCTTAAAACAACTAGAAAACAATTTCATTTAATTAGTAAACATACTTATATTTGATACGATCTTGTTTCCGAACCTTATTGTTACTGTTTTATTTTTCAATAGAGTTAAGATAACATATTTAGATACAAGTTTGCTGTTTAATTATTACAAGATTTAAAGAATTTAAAGTTTTGTTAACCTATAAACAAGAACACACGTTACTTATGTTAGTACAGGTCGTATATTTTGTTCTTAATTGAAGATATCTTTTTATAAATATTAATACTTTTCTAACGCGCTAATAAAAGAAAATTATGACTTAATTAAACAATGAAATAGCAAACTGCATTTAAGAATTAGCATATGATTATGCATAACTAGATTTTTATATACGAAAAAGTTTATTGCTGTTGAAAAATAAAACAGATATACGGATAAATACATATATTTATATAAACTTTTCCTGTATTCTGAATACATTGCAATATTTACCATTTATTAAAAAACATCTTGCACATACACACACATACATTTAATATTATAAAAGTATATACACATTAATGTTAAAAAATAAATATCGGTTTACCAGAACACTTTACAAACAAGTAGAATATTTGTCAAAGCAGAAATTAAAATTATAAGTATAAAAATTAATATTAAAGCTTCGAATATTATTTCTACAATTTGTTCCAGAAATGTATTTAAATATATTTTATTGGTATCATCAGATGGTACATTTTCCTCAATAGCACTTTTCGTATAAAATTCGATATGCGCTTTACTAATTGGTAGTATTACTACAAAAAATGGAAAATAATACTTATCAATAATCCTATGCAATACCCAGATAGCCACAGTAATTACTATGACATCATTTTGATGGCAAAATGCATCATTTGCCATCAAACTGATGTCATAATAATTATTGTGGCTATCTGAGTAATTAATATAGTTATCATCGATTAATTTATTGATTTGTAACAAGAACATATTATTATGCAGACATATTTTTAATAAAACAAATTTATACGTAATAAGATATATATTATCACATAAATATTATTATATTTCTAATAAGCTCAGAAAATATATATTCTTAATTGTAATGTTATTATATAATTCTTTTTAGAAACTTATTTTTTTTGATAAATAATAAAAGAAAACAGAATAGAAAGAGTGTAAAACAAAAAAAATATTAATTATCTAAATAGATCTTATGTATTATTATATTCATAAATTATCGTCTTACCTGATAAGCATAGAAAAAACCAATAATAGCAGAAAACGAATATAAAACTTGCTTTAAACTGTGCATTAATTTAATGAAATGCATCGTAAATATCTAACGATTTTATAACAAAATTTATCAATAAGATTCGATATCACAATTGTTCTTATCCAAATTTACTGTGTTGCTTGCGTTATTAATATCGCGATACTGTATTACTTTCTTGCAGAAAACATTTATGGTAGCATGAAAAAAAATTAAATATATAAGATTAGTGAAAAAAAACTGTCATTAAAAAATATTTAAAATTTAGTTTAGTTATAGTTAATATAATGTATATACCAATGTCATTTTTGTAATAAATTTTTGATTAAAAAGTAGATTATATTTGTCATAATTAAAGTAATAACTTTTTGTTAAAGTACACTAGAATATTTGAAAATTAATGATATAATTTCTTCTTCAATATTTGTAAAATTGCGCGAAGAACTAAATATTTTTATTTGTTATTGGACTTTATAAAGTTATAACAACTGTAATAAATCATACAGTATCACATATAATAAGCAAAAACTTTTTGTTGATTCTGTATTTATTTACGATAAAGTCGTTATTTTTCTCTTCGAATTCTTGCGTGTAAATTAATATCTCACATTATGACGAACAATTAATATTTTGATTTTTTAATTAATATGACAAAATAATATGTAAGATAAAAGTATCTTTTAAAAATTATCAATTTAAATTTTGCTTTTGATTTATATGTTCAACAATTTACTTACACATAATACAAAAAATTATATTAAATCACATTAATAAATTTCGCGTATTCTAAATAATATGTCATAATAAATATATATAAAATGACAAGTGTCGGTAAGTCTAGAATTATATATTAATTTTACAACGAAAAGCAATTTTGTTCTAATTATTTTATGTACCAAAACTTGTAATATATTATATATTATACATATATTGCAAGAACAAGAATTTAAAAAATGACTCGGCGATATGCTATTTGAAATATACTATTATACAGGGTGTCCCATCAAAAGTGGCCACCCCTTTTTATGTTTGAAACTAAAAGAAATAAACCATAAAAATTATATATAAAATTAAATGGCTTAAACTGAACTTGTTTGTGAGCACAGTGGTTGCTTATAAAAACTATCTATGTTCAAGCAATTTAATTTCATATATAATTTTTATGGTCTATCACTTAGTTTCAAAGATAAAAGGGGGCCACTTTTGATGGGACATCTTGTATATGTAAGATATTAATAATTACTTTTTTATAATATACCTTATAATTTATTTACTTTACCAGATGTTAATTAGATAGATTGTCTCTAGATTTGTTTAACACACGTGTAACAATAATATTACGACAGTAACAAAGTCACGTCTGACTTCTGCAAAATGTACCAGGATATTTATAAAATTTAGATTTTTTCGCCTGACTTTTGTAGACTCTCATGATATTGTTTATGTTTAAATGAGTTCATGTCATCATAAATTGTTTTGATATAGAAATTTTGACATTATATGTATATTGAAATCTTCCATTTGGTCGTTATTTACACATTCTTCCGTAATTATTTTTAATAGGCCACAACTCTATCGAACATCTTATAGATCGATAATTGATATTCACATAAAGAAAGAAATATATATTAATTTTTACATAAAGCACTTCCGATTCTTTTTCTATCTCTAGAAAGATAACGAAATTATTCAACATAGACGAATGGTTTTTTGTTTAAATTACAAATTATTTGCAAATTATTCAATAAAAAATATTTAAAATTCCATATATTAAAATGTTTATATTTGTGTTTGTATATATACGTATAAATTTTAAAAACTTTAAACTTTTTTAAGTTATTGATTTCTAAATAATATAACTTTTTTACATAATATATGCTAACTAAATATATAAAAATAATAAATTATTTTATGTAAAATTTTAATACAAACAATGAAAAAAATATAAAAAATAAACATTTAATAAGCAGTTTTGTAAACCCTGTAATATAAAATTTAATAAATATATATATATATATATATATATATATATATTTTATCTTAAATGCATGATGAGCTTTTGTAATTAATTACATTATTTTAAATACTTACATATCACAATCATACAGTCATGCGTATTTTTCGGTTCAAAAATTAATCGTTTAAATTGAAAACATTTTATTACTTTGTTTTAATTTTCACTTTGCATAAATTTTAAATTGTATGAACAAACTTAGAGTCAACTTTATATTAATTTAATTTTGACAGAATTCGTTTTCATGGCTAATTCATAATTAATTTGCAATATTAATTTTACAGGTATTCTTAACAAAAATAAAACATAATAATGGGACAATTTCTTAATAATTGAATTTTATTTATAAATTTTTAATATCACACAGTTTATTATGGTAACAAACATTTGTCAATGTAAGCACTAATAGCGATATGAAGTTGTATTATTTATATAAATGTTATCTATACAAGATTGTCATGTATATAAATAATTTAATAAAGCATTGGATAATAAACTAATTACTTGTAACATTTACACATAAAGTGTACACATAATATTACACATATATACAATATTGCACATAAAAAACTAGAAATTAAAATAAGTGATCCATATATTTCCATTCATTTTGATTTATAGTTTTTTTATTGTAATATTGATCTAAGATCATATTACGATGTAATATTAAAACTTGCAAAATATACAATGTGTATATCTATTTAAATACAGTTGTACAAGTTTTGTACAATGATTTATACAGGGTGTCCGGTAACTAACGGACCAATGATTAAAAGCGGATTCTCTTGTCAATTTGGAGACGATTTTTTCTTAGCAAAAATGTTGAGAAGTCAATAATTTTTGAGTTCTAAGCGATTGAAAAAAATGGGTTTTTTGAAAACTAAACGTTTTGGAGTTAAAAGTCTATCATAATTACATTCTTCAGTTAATTTCAGGTAGAGTTTACCATAATAAAATTTTAATTTGAGGTTTAGTTATAAACATACATAATGACAATATTGGAAAGTTGTAAAAATGATGACTTTTTTCGACATTTTCGCTGAAGAAAAATCGTTCCCAAATTGACCAAAGAATCCATTTGTGATCATTGGTCCGTTAGTTACCGGACACCCTGTAGCTACAAATTTGTAAGTTTAAATTATGCGTAGATATTGATCAATCTATTCAAATTACAATAAATTTTATTATTTATAATAAAGTTTATTATCACTGAATATATATATTTATTGCAAAATTTTCATAAAATGATTCAATTCTTATTAATTATAAAAAATTGTTAATGCATTTTATCATACGAATTGGGCGTTAGGCATATAAGCCAAGTGATCAGATAATCATTATTTTTGATTATCTTAATTTTTTCATATAATCACAATATATTAAAATTTGTAATAATCTAAAATAATGTTATTATTACTAAATAGATAAAATTATTTGAAACATATCATATATGTAGGAATACTAATATTGTTTCTGTGAAAGAAATCCTAATTTAAATTTTACAATTTAGTTTAAATTATTTACCAACTTCCTCATGTGTGTATGTGTGCGTGTGTGTATGGAAGTAAATTGCGGTCAGACAAACACAGACAATGGAAGAAAATTATCTATATGTTTATATATGTATATACATATATATATATACATATATGTATGTATGTATGCATGTATATATACAGGGTGTCTGGGAACACTCTTAACAACGTTCGTGTGATGATAGAGCGCATCGATACGAACGAAAAGTCTTATATCATTTTGCAATATCTTTAATAATAACCGAAATATCTAATGTTAAAGTCAAGCGAGTAAAAGAAATAAAGTCAAGTGAATAAGAAAAAGTTTTATTAAAAATATTGCAAAATGGTATAAGACTTTTTCGTTCGTCTCGATTCGCTCTATCACCACACGTTGTTAAGGGTGTTCCGGGACACTTTGTATATATGTGTGTATATATATATATATATATCTGTGTCTGTCTGATCGCAATTTACTTCCACATTTATAGACTGATTTTCGTGAAACCGGTACAAAAATTTTCCTCCTTTTTCGTGGAATGATATTACGTAATTTTTTTGTTCTTTTTTTTTGTTTGTTCTTACTTTTTAATTTAATGTCAATAAGCATACAATATTGTCACTTGAGAATTAAATAAAAAGAAGTGAGGAAAAAATTAACGGAAACAAAACCACATCTTAACATCCATCCCCGTAACATTAGGAACATTTTGGTACCTGTTTCCTGAAAATCAATCCAGAAATCTAGATATAATTCGCAATCAAACAGAGAAAATTATAAGTAAATAAAAAAAAGTTAAACAATGGCTTTGAGGTCCGTGCAAAGATTGGACCAAAACGAAAGTATATACATAAGGTTCTAAAAAATATTAATATTTTTCAAGTGTCTACAATAACATAAAATGAAATAATTAAAATAGTTGTTCTATTAAAAGTAATAAAATTTTTAAAAATTTGTGGTTTTTATAGTTTTTAAATTTTATGAATTGTATATATGTATTATTATTAATTATTACATATTTCTCTCATTGTGATTATATTATTACATAATTATATATAATATATATTTTCTTGCTTAACAATTAATCGTGGAGCAACGTACACATTATCAGAATAACTTGAAATTGAGATTCGAACATGATGACATACTTACGAGATCTTATTAATATCATAAATAAGTAATATTTTACTACATAACGTGTACAAACCATCCATGTTAACTTTCCAAATTAATAACGTTCTACTTCTTCTTCATCTGACGACTGCAATATTAGAGATAGATTAATTAAAATTATTAATATAATAATAACTATTAATACGTACGTGTAAGTATAATAATTAATAATGAAAAAAGTTTACAAGCAAATTGTACTCATTATAAAAATGAAAAAAATCATATAAATATAAGTCCACAACCGGCATATTTCTACAAACATCTCTCGTTTATGGAAAAGTTTTTAGTTGGAACATTTAGTTAAACAAAAACGATAGGAATAATTAAATATAAAATTTCTGTATAATAATGCTTTTATATGGATTTACAGAGATTAATTTATAATCATTTTTCACACGTACAAACTTTTGCTTAGGTTTCTATTAATTAATTAAAACTAAAGATGTTTTGTACGTATATAATAATATAATAATAATAATTATTGCGTATATATAATGTTATTATTGCATATAATTATCATATATAATAATAATATATAATATAAAATATATAATATATAATATATATAATAATATTATTATTGTTGTACACGTATAACACAAAATTCGAAATACTTTGGAAAAGTTGAATTATCTTTGAATATTTATGCAACATATAATTGTGGATAATTGTGAAAAAAAATTATTCATTTCAACTTATTGTTTTTAACAAAGTTTTTTAGTCAAATTTTAAATAAATTATTTATGTAATTAATGTATTTATAATCAAAAATAGAGTATTTTCTGGATTCTTGTTTATACAAATCCTTTTCATTTCTTGGATGAGTGAAATATACTTCTAAATGCTTCACTATTATTTCTAATACATTTTGTATGTTTATAACGGACTCGTTTGTATTGTTATCTTATGCCTATTTTTAGTTTTAGTTAAAATAACCATACTTTATTTAGTACGGTTATTCCATAAACGGAAGTATCCTAGTGCAAATGTACTCTTATTGACAATAAGTAGAAATATATAAATATGCACGCATATATACATGTGTGTATAAACTTTGTATATAATTACTTCAAATATTACTTACGTGGCGGCCTGCATTAAAATAAACATTCAAATCTGACGGACGACGAGGCTCTCGACGCGCGCGAAAAAGCCGGCGGAAGTAATTTCTAAACCTGTGACTTATACCTAACACATCTATGAATTCTATGATGGGCGTAATATAATCTGGACTGTAACAATGACGAATCGTAATAATATATAAAAAATGTAATGGTTTTTGTAATACTAATAGCTAAAACATATAATAAATTAAATAAACTATATATATATATATATATATATATATATATATATTGCAGTAAATAACTATTATAACATATTAAATATAGAGAATCAACATATAAATTTGTTAATAATCCAGTAAATGAATAATAATTATCTTAATTTTTATAATGTTTATAAAGAAAAAAACTTGACATTGCATTTGAAGAATTAAATTATTTTAACTTTATCATTATAAAAAAAAAACAATTGAAATTTGTTCTTTTTAACGGCTTAAAACAGCTAGGAAAAAATTTCATTTAAATAGTAAACATACTTATATCCGATACGATCTTATTTCCGAACCTTATATTGTTACTGTTTTATTTTGCAATAGAGTTAAGCTAACATATTTAGATACAAGTTTGCTGTTTAATTATTACAAGATTCAAAGAATTTGAAGTCTTGTTAACCTATAAACAAGAACAAATGTTACTTGTGTTAGTACAGATCGTATTTTGTCTTAAGTTGAAGATATCTCTTTATAAATATTAATACTTTTCTAACGCGCTAGTAAAAGAAAATTATGGCTTGATTAAACAATGAAATAGCAAACTGCATCTAAGAATTAGCATATGTTTATGCATAATTAGATTTTTATATACGGAAAAATTTATTTCTGTTGAAAAATAAAACAGATATACGGATAAATACATATATTTATATAAACTTTTCCTGTATCTTGAATACATTGCAATATTTACCATTTATTAAAAAACATCTTGCACATACACACACAAACACACACATACATGTCATATTATAAAAGTATATACACATTAATGTTAAAAATAAATATCGGTTTACCAGAACGTTTCACAAGCACATAGAGTAATTATCACAGCAATAATTGCAGAGCAACATATAATTATAAATATGGAAACATTGATTATTATGTCTGCAACTTCTCTCAGAAATACATTTAAATATATTTCATTGATATCATCAAATGGTACATTTTCCTCAGTAGTACTTTTCGTATAAAATTCAATATGCGCTTTACTAATTGGTAGTATTACTATAAAAAATGGAAAATAATTCTTATCAATAATCCTATGCAATACCCAGATAGCCACAGTAATTATTATGACATCATTTTGATGTCGAAATGCATCATTTGCCATCAAACTAATGTCATAATAATTATTGTGGCTATCTGAGTAATTAATATAGTTATCATCGATTAATTTATTGATTAGTAACGAGAACATATTATTATGCAGACATATTTTTAATAAAACAAATTTATACGTAATAAGATATATATTATCACATAAATATTATTATATTTCTAATAAGCTCAGAAAATATATATTCTTAATTGTAATGTTATTATAATATTCTTTTTATACTTATTTTTTTTTTGATAATAAATAAAAGAAAACAGAAAAGTAAGAGTGTAAAACAAAAAAAATTTTAATTATCTAAATAGATCTTATGTATTATTACATTCATAAATTATCGTCTTACCTGATAAGCATAGAAAAAAACCAATAATAGCAGAAAACGAATATAAAACTTGCTTTAAACTGTGCATTAATTTAATGAAATGCATCGTAAATATCTAACGATTTTATAACAAAATTTATCAATAAGATTCGATATCACAATTGTTCTTATCCAAATTTACTGTGTTGCTTGCGTTATCAATATCACGATACTGTATTACTTTCCTGCAGAAAACATTTATGGTAGCATGAAAAAAAATTAAATATATAAGATTAGTGAAAAAAAACTGTCATTAAAGAATATTTAAAATTCAGTTTAGTTATAGTTAATATAATGTATATACCAATATCATTTTTGTAATAAATTTTTTATTAAATAGTAGATTATATTTGTCATAATTAAAGTAATAACTTTTTGTTAAAGTAAATTATAATATTGGAAAATTAATGATATAATTTCTTCTTCAATATTTGTAAAATTGCGCGAAGAACTAAATATTTTTATTTGTTATTGGACTTTATAAAGTTATAACAACTGTAATAAATCATACAGTATCACATATAATAAGCAAAAACTTTTTGTTGATTCTGTATTTATTTACGATAAAGTCGTTATTTTTCTTTTCAAATTCTTGCGTGTGAATTAATATCTCACATTATGACGAACAATTAATATTTTGATTTTTTAATTAATATGACAAAATAATATGTAAGATAAAAGTATCTTTTAAAAATAATCAATTTAAATTTCGCTTTTGATTTATATGTTCAACAATTTACTTACACATAATACAAAAAATTATATTAAATCACATTAATAAATTTCGCGTATTCTAAATAATATGTGATAATAAATATAAATAAAAAAAAATGACAAGTGTCGATGTCGGTAAGTCGAGAATTATATATTAATTTTACAACAAAGAGCAATTTTGTTCTAATTATTTTATGTACCAAAACTTGTAATATATTATATATTATACATATATTGCAAGAACGAGAATTTAAAAAATGACTCGGCGATATGCTATTTGAAATATACTATTATACAGGGTGTCCCATCAAAAGTGGCCACCTCTTTTTATGTTTGAAACTAAAAGAAATAGACCATAAAAATTATATATAAAATTAAATGGCTCAAACTGAACTTTTTTGTGAGCACAGTGGTTGCTTATAAAAACTATCTATGTTTAAGCAATTTAATTTCATATATAATTTTTATGGTCTATCACTTATTGTTAGTTTCAAAGATAAAAGGGGGCCACTTTTGATGGGACATCTTGTATATGTAAGATATTAATAATTACTTTTTTATAATATACTTTATAATTTATTTACTTTACCAGATGTTAATTAGATAGATTGAATTAGATAGAACAAAGTCACGTCTGACTTCTGAAAAATGTACCAGGATATTTATAAAATTTAGATTTCTTCGCCTGACTTTTGTAGACTCGCATGATATTGTTTATGTTTAAATGAGTTCATGTCATCATAAATTGTTTTGATATAGAAATTTTGACATTATATGTATATTGAAATCTTCCATTTGGTCGTTATTTACACATTCTTCCGTAATTATTTTTAATAGGCCACAACTCTATCGAACATCTTATAGATTGATAATTAATATTCACATAAAAAAAGAAATATAGATTAATTTTTACAGAAAGCACTTCTGATTCTTTTTCTATTCTCTAGAAAGATGACGAAATTATTCAACATAGACGAATGGTTTTTTGTTTAAATTACAAATTATTTGCAAATTATTCAATAAAAAATATTTAAAATTCCATATATTAAAATGTTTATATTTGTGTTTGTATATATACGTACAAATGTTAAAAACTTTAAACTTTTTTAAGTTATTGATTTCTAAATAATAATAACTTTTTTACATAATATACGCTAACTAATAAAAAATAACAAATTATTTTTATGTAAAATTTTTAATACAACAAAGAAAGATGTATGAAAATAAACATTTAATAAGCAATTTCGAAAACCTTTGTTAATATATAATTTTATTTATACATATATATATATATATTTCATATTAATAAATTTGCTTTTGTAATTAATTACATTACTTTAAATACCTACATATCACAATCATACAGTCATGCGTATTTTTCGGTTCAAAAATTAATCATTTAAATTGAAAACATTTTATTACTTTGTTTTAATTTTTATTTTGCATAAATTTTAAATTGTATGCAACAAACTTATAATCAACTTTATATTAAATTTAATTTTGACAGAATTCGTTTTCATGGCTAATCCATAATTAATTTGCAATATCAATTTAACAGGTATTCTTAACAAAAATAAGACTTTATAATGGATACTGTGTTTGCTGAGTATATATATATATATATATATATATATATATATATATGTATATATCGGTGTTTGCTGGGTATATATTAAATATTATATATTAATTTATAAAACTGTTATATATTATAAATTTTTATTGGATTATGTTTAGGCATACATGAAGATATAATTTTCTTCTTTCGAATATATTGAAAAAGTTTGACATTGTAGTGTATATTGTAGGTTGATGTTTATTATACGTTCCAAGACAAAACCAGTCACGACTGAGCCGCGAAAGTGTACAGGGCATCTAAACATTGCCTTGTGTGCGATAACGAACGTTCCTCTTTCTTGTCTACATTATAAAGATTTCATTGTTCAAAATGTATAAAGACATATGTGCATTGCTCTGAAAAAAAGAACAATTGCAGTAATAAATGAAAACAAACGCACACAACGAAAATCAAAGAGAATATGTAAGTACATGACTTTTTAATACTAACTTTATACATTGAAAAAAATGTATTAATTTGACTAAACTTTCCAACTAAATATTATTTTATTAATGGAACATATGTATAAATACGTATATTTAAATTAAATATATATATAACATATTAAATCTAACAAAACGTATATTTTTTAATTAAATACTAATATATGTTCAATTAACAAAATAGTAATTAAGTTGAAAAATTTAGTCAAGTTAACAACATTTTTTCAATATATGCATATTCATTTGCATATTTTTATGACACAATTGACGCATTTCTAACATTTGCAGAACAAAGAGAAACGAACAAATATATAATCTCTGCACCTTCATCACATTTCGAGAATATTTTTCATATATTTAATATAATTATCAATATGGTGGAAGAGTTGATTCATTTTAAAATTTCCGCACCAGGCAGAATCGTCTTATCCGGAGAACATTCGGCGATATACAGAAAACATTTTGTCGCGACCAGCTTAAATCTTCGTACCAATCTCGAATTCTGGGAGCTAAATGATTTAGAAAAATTTATTCACATCGAATTCCCCGAGGTTAATTTCACGTACAATATAGATTTAAAAATAATTAAATTCTTTTGTGGAGATAACGAAGTGAATTCAACTCTGGACAATTTCATCAAATACTTAAAGTACATGATAACGGTGTACGGATTGTGGATAACATTTACTCAGAAACGTGCTTTAATGATATTTTTTTACTTGCTCTTCGAGACCATTAAACGTGGTGAACTCGAAATCAAACCTTTTCGCATAAAGGTCACCTCAGAATTACCCATCAACTCCGGTCTTGGTAGCTCGACGTCGTTTGCGGTTTGCGTCGCAGCGTGCTTTCTTCATTGGAAGCGTCTACATACGCAGAATCAGCCTGTTGAATTTGACAATCCAGATTTTAAGAAAGAAGTCAAGTCATATGTCGCGTCCTACGAAGATTTCTTACTTGACTACGATTGCGCGTGGATCGATACCGACGTTTGTATATACGGCAATATAAGGAAAAGTCGACTTACCGATTACATAAATGTTGATACGGTTGACTCCCAGGATTTGCAAGAAATGAAGATTTTACTGGTCCCTTCGAAAGTTCCTCAGAAAAAGCACCATCAGACGAAACAAATGATACACCGGAAACTTAATTCCAATGCAGAGTCGAACGAGTTTGAGATTTTGTTAAATGAATTGGACGACGTAGCAATACAAATATACGATAATCTCAAATCATTAAGTGATAACATCAAAAATATTGGTTTGCGTGAATGTCGACAGCATTACAAGTCATTACGGGTATTGTTCTTACTTTAATTTAACACTGTTATTATATATTATGTATAATATATATATATGTATATATACATATATACATACATTTTTACATAACATTTCATGTTTTGCAGAAATCCATTAAGTGGAATCAACAATTATTGTGTAACAATTTTTTGACAAATGAGGAATTCGATAAGATCTGCAAAATTGCAAAAGATAAAGGATTCGCGGGAAAACTTACAGGTTTTGCAGCTAAATACGTATACATTTTGCTTCCACCTTACGTAAAAAAAGAAAAATCGAGGATATTAAAACAGAATTAAAAAATCAACATTTCACGTTTATAGATGCCTCTATCAATTGTAAAGGGTTGAAGCTTGAATGATTCTATTAAAATTATCGCGGTTATGTACTATAAATAACTATACATATAATGACAAACAACTAAATGTACAAAAATAGAGCAAAATTACTAATTAAATAATAATAATATTTTAAGGAACGTATGGCAAACAATATACATTTTTATTCAATTATGTACATTCTGTTGTTTTAAAATTTCAGACTTTTAATTATGCATTAATAATTATGAAATAAAGATAAGAATTATTGAATTAAACTTTCTCGTAAAATATATCGAAAAATATTAGCTTTTTCTATCACATTTTACTTTAAATGATACTTAGATGTATATACAGAAGTTCTTTTCGATCTATAAGTTAATTGATATACAAAATGCTTCATAATTTAAATTATATAATGCAATTTGTAAATGAAAAATAAATTAAACAATTTTGAATTTATTTTTCTGCGAATATAAGTTTAAAAAAATTATGAAATAAAATGTATTTAATCAGCATTATTTATGGACATATACTTATTAGCTATAAGCTTGATAGTTTCCGTGTTGCATATTATCCGCGGCATATTATGTTTTATAAGATGTCTATATAAGAAATCGAACTGATGGAACTGAATTTTATTTAATAATTTTTCCTTTGTTAAGCAGTCGGAAATAATATTTCAAAATTTGTATAATTCATGAACACAAATTATGAAGCAATTGTATATCTGTGATTTATTATCACAAGTTCTATTTTTAAAAATATGAGACTAAATTAAATAAGTTATATAGTTGTACAATTACTAAGGTAAAAGAAAACTAATATGTTTTTATATATTTTAATACTATTGAAAACTAGTGTATAGGAATAAAAGATTACTTTATTTTGATATAAAAAGATTAATTTATTTTCATAAACTCTTGAAAGAAATTTAAATGTTTTCTCACTTTTAACTTCACTATTTAACGAAATTTGAATAAAGAAAAACGAAAATCATAATAGAGATAATAAAGTATTTGTCGATTTAATGAACAAATTATTGTATAATATATTATTATTTTTTTTAAATATGACAGCAAAAATTAATTACAGCAATTATTATTTTAATTGGATTTGCACAGTAGCTAAAGATTATCTGAAGGAAAAGGATATTTATTTCTATTCTTGTTTATATCTTTAGTTATACATATATATGCATATAAAGATTTATCTACTTATAAAATAATTAAAAGAAAGAGATATTCTGTTTCAGTGATCTCTAGTTGAAATTCGTGATACATTTATTTAATTATTATGTCAAAATAAACTCTCATAAATAAGATCTGTAGAATAACAAAAATTGTGCTATATTCATCTTTCATGTCAAAATTATATATATAATTTAATTACATTAAGCCATATAATTTGACATATATAAAAATATGCATGCATTTTATGCTGCATTTTATGTATATCTCAGTTATATATAAATCGACGAAAAAGTATATTTTTAATTATAATATATAATGTATTGCAAAATTATGACATGTAAGTATAATACATTGTGTATCAATGTAAATAAAATAATGACAATTTATCTGATTGTCACAATTTCAATTAATACAATTTATTATTTTTTTATTTTCTGCAACTATAATTATATATATTATGTATATATTTAGTGTGCAAATGTTGATTAAAGTATGATTAAAGTATATCAAATAGCATATCAATAAATATATCAAAAAATTTTAATTTTGTAATCAATATTTAGATTCATATCTTTGAAGGACTCTGTTATTATTAAAAAATCAATCATGACCGAGAGAGATGCGGAATTATATAAAACACGGAAAAATATAAAATCTTTTTGTTATAACGAACGTTCTTGAATATTTTGTATATTTTTATACATTTACATTATGCATATTTTTCATACTTTTTTTCTATAATATAAAGTTTCAGTAGTTAAAATATATATTATTTAAGCTTGCGTTTAAAAACGAGAACTTGATTCAATTGAAGCAATATTTCTATATACATATATTAGATAAAACATATTAACGGACAAGCATTTTATAAATATAAATTCAATAATATATTGATGACAATTTTTTATTCTTATAACACATACATAAACAACGTCATGTATTATCGATTAAATTGAGTATTTGATCATTTATGCTCAATTGCTAAGAATTTTGCATTCGCGAGAAAGCTTATAGGTTTCAGAGACAGATTTGTATACATTTTGCTAAAACCATCGAGCATTTTTAATAGCAGAGAATTTCTCTGTCATAAATACCAGCATCAATTGTGATAGAATAAAAATTAATAATTGATTTTATTAAAATTTTCGCGATAATTATATGTATAAACTAGAACGCAACACAAGCGCACGCCATTTCTCAATTTATATTAAAAAGATTGAATAAAATAATATAAAATTTATTTAAACTCCATTAATCTTTCTTGGCAAAAATCAGGCGTTACTTTGCTAATTAAATTTTAAAATATAATAATAAATTTTAAAACTTAAAATATATTTTATATAATATATAGTTATTTAAAGTCAATTAAAATTTCTTGACAATTGTCAGCAGATATCTATCAAAAAATTTTATTTGTGTCAAAGATATAACATATCATTTACAACTACAACATACTATTTTAATATTTTTAATATAATGTAATTTCAGAATTAGTAAATTAAAGTTTCAATCTGCGAATTTAATAAAAAAATATTAGGAAAGAGTTAATTTGCTAATTAGATTGTAAAACAATATGTTTAAAAAAATTTTAATAGTAATAACATATGTTATTATAATTAAAACGTATTAGAATTATTGTATTATTAAATAGATGAATGTCAGAAAAATTATCTTTTGCCTAAGAATATCTTTATAATAATGTGGAAAATGATTAATTTACTATACTAAATAATTATAATAATTATTTTAATTGAATTGCACAATATCTATAGTGATAGCCTTAAAAAGTGATCGTTTATATTCCATTTTTTTATTTTTTATTTTATATAGATGCTATAGATGTAATTAGATGAAAGAATTAATGAAAATTAATATAAATTATTTTACTTCAGAATTATTATCTTCAGCTGGAATTCATGATAAATGTTATTAAGTCGAATTAAGTTAGACGTAAATTTCATCTATTAAATAAGAAAAATAGTGCTTTTTATTTTTTATGTCAATTAAAATTGTTTAATAATTCTGTCAAAACAATAATATAATTTATACAATTATATTATTATATTGCAACGCAATTCAATATACGAATTCTTGTGATATATTTTTAATTATGTAATAAATTGCATTAAATTATACGCATATTTATAATATATAATATTACACATTTATACTTTAATTATTGGACACACGTTACAAATTTTTGTAAACCATAATATCATTATTATTTGACATTAAAAAGATTAATATTTCTACCATAATAAGAGAACTAGTTTATGATATTGAAAATAATATATTATTATTGGATTATTTATAAGCATACATATGAAAATATTTTAACGACTTATTCCTAAAATATTGAAAAAGTTTGATCTTGTAATTCGTATTAAAGTCATGACTTTGGAGTAATGTTATTTTATATGTTCCGATACGAAATTAGTCACAGTTGAGACGCGAAAGTGTATAGGACATATATAAACTCTATCTTCTGTAATCTTTCTTTATCTCATCAACGTTAAAAAGATTTAATAGCTGGAAATATACAAAGACTTTTGTGCTTATTTGTAAGAACTACGCAAATTTAATTGTAATCAATTCTTAATCGTTCCGTGAAGAGAAGAGACATTTTTCTTAAACAAAAAAATGACTTCACATAAATATAAATTTACAATTTCCGCACCGGGCCGAATCGTCTTGGCCGGAGATCACACGATGATGTATGGAAAACATTTCGTTTTGGCCAGCTTAAGTCACCGTACCAAAGTCAAATTCTGGAAATTATCTGATCAGGCAAGAAACATTAGGATAGAGTTCCCTCAGGTGAATCTAAAGAAATATATATCATTGGAAGAAGTTCGACGCTTTCTCGATAAATCTGAAGAACTAAAGGATCGTCCGCTACGTATCCTTAAATACGTACATTCGTTTATCACTTTCAACAATATGTGGTCCACGAACAGGCAGAGGTATAGCTTGAAAGTGTTCTTCTTTCTGCTTTACATTATGGTAAACGACGAGAACCTCGACATACAATCATTTCGCGTAAACGTGACCACGAAGATCCCTTTGGATGCCGGTCTCGGTAGTTCCTCATCATTCATGGTTGGTCTAGCAGCGTGTTTCCTTCATTGGAAGCGTTTACAGAACAACAATAGTTCTATGGAATTCAACGAAAACTATTTGTATAAGATTGAAGACTGCGCAAGATTTTGCGAGCAGTGGACGCAAGAGTATGAGTGTCGGCTAGATACCGAGGTTTGTGTATTCGGCAAATTGATCAAAAGTCGAATCGACGAGGCCAAAATGTATTCGACGGAGAAACAAAGTGCGACACCAATACACATTTTACTGGTCGATACAGGAAAGCGACAGAAAAAGAAAGATCAAGAGAGGCAAATGGTATTGCTGAAATTAAAAAAGAATCAGTTATTTGATTCTATATTAGATAAATTAAACGAAAAAGCAGAAAAAATATATGACAGGATCAAATCGATACCTCCCATCGACTCTCCCAATTTAGCAGAGCGTGATCGCTGTTACAATTTATTACAGGTATCATTTTTGTTTTTATTTAACAACGTTATTATAAATATATGTATACGTGTACACGCTGTAACTAAATAAATGCGAAAAATTTGAGATGATTTTTTTTAATATTAATAAATATTCTTTTTATTAGTGGAAAATAACTACCAAGTTTTATTTTTTAATTTGTGTTGAAATTTGAGAAAAAATAAAAACTTAATTTTTACCATCTTCTTTAGAAAACTGTAACTCCTCAGGGAGAGATATAAGAGTGTATGTTTATATAAAATTCTCCTTAATTTTTGATAAAAAATTATCTAAAATTTCTTGCATTTATTTAGGTACATCCTGTATGTATATATATCTTAGTTTTACTGCGTTGGCAAGATTGTCTAATAATTATCTGTTAGAATATGTACCGTTTTATAACATTTTGCATGTTTTGCAGAATTCCATCAGGAAGACCCATAAAATATTGCGCAAAAATGATTTGACAACTCAGGATATTGATAATATTCGGAACATTGCAAAAGAATATAACTTGGAGGGAAAGCTTACAGGTTTTGGGGGAGGATTTGTATACATTATAAAATCACCGACTATTACAAACGAAAACTTCGCGAATATGCAGAGACAATTAGAGAATCAACATTTCAAATGTCAACGAGCCTACTTCAATTGTGAAGGAGTGAAAATTGATGAGCAAAGTTATAATACAGATATTATATATGATTAAATAATAACAAATAACTAAATGTAGAGGGTAGAACGGAATTACTGACTTAATAATTGTGATTTTTTAAGGGTACTATAACGATGAATAATACACATTTTAGTAAAATATATCACATATATTCTGTTGATTAGAGATCACGGTCTTTTAATCACATCGTACTGAATTATGAAATCACAGATAAGAAATTATTGAATTGAATTTTCTTGTAAAATATATCGAAACATATTAGATTTTTCATATTCTATACCATTTTTCTTTAAGAATAAAATGCCTTATTGAATTATACGCTGCTATGAACATACAGGTTTTTTTCAATTTGTAAATTAATTAGTATACCAGATATTTCATAATTTAAATTATATAATGCAATTTGTGAATAAAAAATGGAACAATTTTAAATTATATTTTTCTGCTAAGTTTGAAAAGGAAATAATGAAATAAAATTTATTTAATCAGCGCTGTTTATTAAATGGACATATAGCTACTAGCTGCAAGTTTGATTTCCGTATTACATATTGCCTGTCTATAGATATATGTCTATGTAAAAAATATAGCTAGCAAAAATGTGTAAATTTTATTTAATAATTTTTCCTTTTTAAGCAACAGGAAACAATATTACAAAATGTTTAATTTTTTATTATTTAATAATATTATATATAATTCATGAACACAAATTACGAAGCAGTTGTATATATCTGCGATTTATTATCACATGTTCTACTTTTAAAAATATGAGACTAAATTAAATAAATTATATAGTTGTGCAATTATTAAGGTAAAAGAAAACTAATACTTTTGATATATTTTAATACTATTGCAAACTAGTGTATATGAAAAGATTAATTTATTTTGATATAAAAAAGTTAATTTATTTTCATAAACTCTTGAAAGAAATTTAAATGTTTTCTCACTTTTAACTTCACTATTCAACGAAATTTGAATAAAGAAAAACGAAAATCATAATAGAGATAATAAAGTATTTGTCGATTTAACGTACAAATTATTGTATAATATAATATTATTACTTTTTTTTAAAGATGACAGCAAAGTTTTCTTTTCCGCAAATAATGCTTAAGTGAATATGAATATTATGTATTTGTGTGCTTAAATAAATATGAATATTATTTATTTGTGTGTGTAAATGCTTAAATGACTATGTATTACTACGACGTAAAAATTAATTACAGCAATTATTATTTTAATTGGATTTGCACAGTAGCTAAAGATTATCTGAAGGAAAAGGATATTTATTTCTATTCTTGTTTATATCTTTAGTTATACATATATATGCATATAAAGATTTATCTACTTATAAAATAATTAAAAGAAAGAGATATTCTGTTTCAGTGATCTCGAGTTGAAATTGGTAATACATTTATTTATTATGTCAAAATAGACTCTCATAAATAAGATCTGTAGAATAACAAAAATTGTGCTATATTCATCTTTCATGTCAAAATTATATATATAATTTAATTACATTAAGCCATATAATTTGACATATATAAAAATATGCATGCATTTTATATGCTGCATTTTATGTATATCTCAGTTATATATAAATCGACGAAAAAGTAAATTTTTAATTATAATATATAATGTATTGCAAAATTATGACATGTAAATATAATACATTGTGTATCAATGTAAGTAAAATAATGACAACTTATCTGATTGTCACAATTTCAATTAATACAATTTATTATTTTTTAACTTTTAAACGTCTTTAAAAACGGTCCAAGGGTAATTCTAGGTCACAATATTGTCCCACTCAAAATTCTATTTGTAACTGATACATTTTCCTAAAATCTGATGATTTCTAAATATTTCACTGTTAAGATTCAAATAAATCACCCTGTATATATACATACTTATGCGCTGTCACTATTCTTTATCAGAATATTTCTAGTTAGTCAGCATTCGGCGAATCTGTCCTCTTCAGCAAACATATAGTCAACTCCAATAAACCACCCTATTTGATTGAGTTTCCTCCAAGTCGTCTGTTCCTTTTCCGCGGATTTTCCATCACGCTCGCGTCTACTGGAGATGTTTTTTCCTATGTTTTGTATTTTTCTCTCTCCCTCTCTTTATCCCCTTTTCTATCTATCTATTCGATTGCTTTCTGAATCAACCGGACTAGGACATTCCCGATGAATCAGCGTCTCCCTCCATCTTGTCAGGATCGTAAAAGGATCTCTCCTACAAATGGAGATGAATTAAGGAAAGACTCCTTTGAGGAATCATGCTTTGAAATAGTTACCTACCAAAAAAAATAATCTGGTTTACAGAGGCGATCCTGTTCGGTTTGAACAGAATCGAGACTCTTGTCAGTGGAAATAAATAGCATTAACCTTTTCTCTTGCGTTTTAAATGTAAAAATCTGCCGCCTCTCTTTCCAAGTAGCAAACTGACGTTATTAAACGAAAAAACGTCATTCGACGTCCAAATGACGTTATTTTGACGTTTAATGACGTCAGTCTGTTACCTGGGTTGGATGCCTCTTCAAACCTAATCTAACCAGTGTTATGCTTAAATAACTTCAAAATTAGCTAGATTAAGATGAGATAAAAATATATGTATAAATTCATCTTATTGTTAGATAAAATTAAGATGATTGTGTTTTAAATCTATCTAGATAACTTCCAGATAATATTATTATTTTTAAGACCGTTTATGTAAACACAGTTATACAAAAAAAACGTAAATTATAAAAAGGATATAAAAATATGTTCATACTTTTTTTATTTATAACTTTTTATCGTTTACTGCTTAAGTTCTACTAACGAATTGCCATATAATTTTATCTTCTATCTAGATATATTTAGAACAAAATCATCTCTATTTTATCTAAGATGAATTTTTACATATTTTTATCTCATCTTTTATAAAGCTAATTTTAAAATCATCTAAGCACAACACTGTTTAAGACCGCTTATATGTATATAAGTATAGTTATAAAAAAATGTAAATTATAAAAGGGATATAAAAATATATTAATATTTTTATTTATAAGTTTCTAAGTTTACTACTCAAGTTCTATTGCTTAAATATTTTTATGTGGCCCTAAGTCAAATTATCTGAACATTATTCTAAATAATTTAGTAAAAATAACAGTATATAATATATATATATATATATATATATATATATATATATATATAATCAGCAGGCCGATTTTCTTCTGTGACGCAAGATATTAACCTAAATCTAAAGTAGAACCTTAATTCTTTACGCAGAACGTTGACTTATGGCTGAGAAGAATGTAAAAAAGACGCCTAAAGCCGAAAATGAAACTGAAGTAGAATCTGAAACGCAACGAAGGTTGCGTATTATTTTGACATTTCTAATGAAATTTGTTGCAAATTACCATGAAAATAGTTACCTGTAGCGTTTTAACCTGACTCTTCTTTCTTCTCAGAAACTCCTATTAACATTTTTAATTAATAACGTTTGCAAAACGAAAATTGAATGTACAATGAAAAAGAAACAGAGACATTCTTTTGTTTTAAATACATATTTCTTTTATAAAGTAAAATGTAAAATAATCTGCACACATATACACACATATATATATATATATTATATATATATATATATATATTTTATAAATCATTTTTTGCGTAAATTATTTTTTATGTAATGTACGCAAAATTATTTTTTGTTAACATAATTAATGCGATTTGGCTCTTATTGCCTATCTTATATATTTAAATTTATATTAACATAATTAAGTTATTTTATTTTATAACTTAAAAAGGCCTTTTTCATCTAAATTTTATTCTCTTGCGCTCAACTACTGATCTTCTCTCTCTCTCTCTCTTTCTTATAAAGCTAACGAGAATATTAAGTATAAAATAATATTTTTATCTCATCTTTTATAAAGCTAATTTTAAAATCATCTAAGCACAACACTGTTTAAGACCGCTTATATGTATATAAGTATAGTTATAAAAAATGTAAATATAAAAGGGATATAAAATATATTAATATTTTTATTTATAAGTTTCTAAGTTTATATATATATATATATATATATATATATATATATATATATATTTATACAATATATATATATATACTATTACACTATATATATATATATATATATATTTTTTTTTTTATTGTAAGTACGCAAAATTATTTTTTGTTAACATAATTAAGTTATTTTTATTTTATAACTTTAAAAAGGCCTTTTTCATCATATACTTAATATTCTCGTTAGCTTTATAAGAAAGAGAGAGAGAGAAGATCAGTAGTTGAGTGCAAGAGAATAAAATTTAGATGAAAAAGGCCTTTTTAAAGTTATAAAATAAAATAACTTAATTATGTTAACAAAAAATAATTTTGCGTACATTACAATAAAAAATAATTTACGCATAAAAATGATTTATAAAAATGCGAGAGAACTTATATATATAATATATATATATAAGTTTTAAATCTATAGCGCGAAATAACTTTGAGAAATAAAACTTTTCTACAGATTAGAAGCTCCTTTACTGCAATTAAGTTTTATGAAACGAACCAGTCTTATCCTTAAGTTATACTGGCGAATCATTTTTGCTGTTTGTTGGGCTCTGTTTTGGTTACCTTTCATCGTAATATATGATTATCCGGTGAGCAGTTTTTATTTTTGTAAATCAGATTTAAAGTTTTTACTACTCGTACATTTATAGAAAAAAAATTCTTTCAAATGTAATTTTAAGATTAAGCACTATTTATACATTTTATACATTTAAATATATATCATTATTTTACTATAATTTATATCACAAAATAATTATTAATAATATTATTATTTTATATTATACATATAATGCATTTGTAATATTATAATATATATAATTTTTATGTTAATAATATTTTTACTACGGATGTTATTAAACCCGATTAAGGGTGACATGTAAACATACTCTACAAGAAACACCTTATCTGGTTTAAAATAATGGAAAAAATTTTTGTAAATTAATGTAATTAAAAACCCAATTTTTTTCTATTTTTATCTCATTTTCTCTCATCTCGCATTATTTGCTTGGTAAACGCAGGAAGTCAGATGCGCGTACATCGTGTTACTGGTGGCCGGTACTGGGTGACGGAGTGCCTGCCGATAGCGATAACGTCGCTAATCCCGGTAGTGCTGTTTCCGCTGTTCGGCATCCTCAGCACCCAGGAAACGTGCACCTGCTATATGAATGACACCATCATGGTGTTCATCGGTGGCCTGGTGCTCGCCATCGCCACCGAGCACTGTAACCTACATCTGCGACTCGCCCTGATCGTGATGAAGACCCTCGGTTGCAGCCACACGAAACTGCTCGGCGGCCTCTGCACCGTAACCACCTTCGTGTCCATGTGGATTGCAAACGCGGCTGCCACCGCCATGATGGTGCCCATCGTCTTTGCCGTTCTTCGCGAATTGGAGAGGGTCGGTGAACTGTAGGAAGAGTGATAAACCCCTTGCACAATGCCAGGCAACAGGCAATAGGAATAAGAAATAGAAAATATCAACTAATTGGAAAAGGAGATAGATCTTCTTTATTGTGAATGCATGCAAAAGCATGGTTTTCCATTAGTCGGAATTTAATTCTCTATTCCTAATTCCTTGTGTTTAATTTCTTTCTTGTTCCTTATTCCTTTTATTGTGTCTGAGCCCTTTGGATATTCCAATTTATTACGTTGATTACACTGGTCAACAAAGAGAAACTTTTGTTTAGTTTAGTAGCCAAGAATGTTGGAACAAATTTAGGGTATTTTGGAGAATGCTGAACCCAAAAGTGACAACAGTTTTGTTAAATTGACTCTAGTTTTTGAGATAATAAATTTTGGGGGATGCTGAACTCAAAAGTGACAACAGTTTTGCCAAATTAACTCTAGTTTTTGAAATAATAAATTTTGGAGGATGCTGAACTCAAAAGTGACAACAGTTTTGTCAAATTGATTCTAGTTTTCACGATAATGGATACTCAAATTACGATTTTTACCTCAAACACAACCTGTAGCTGCTGATATATGCAAAACAGAATTTGATCTGTTCTTTTATTCTGTAACATGGTTTTTATTTCCAACGTAATCCTGATGACTCACAGATCCACATAAAAGAAAATCGTCTAAACAGCATTTTCTATATATATTAATTGTGATTATCTAAACTAGTTTACTTTGTTTTTGTTTTACTGAATTGATGCCATTAGATATTTCATATATTATATTTTTATATGATTTGAGACAGTTTTCATATAACTTGGAGACAGGCTAACCATTACATTTTTGCACTTTTTATGTTTTTCATGGGACACTCATTATTTCAAAAATTAGAGCCAATTCAAGAAAACCAATGCCATATTCGGAATCAACGACACCCAAAGTTACCTTAAAATCTATCTCTCTTGATCTAATATAATTGAGAATAAATTAGTGTTGACCAATGTTATATCATCAAGAAGACTAAAGAACAGGAGATCGAACTCCTTAAAATTTCAGTGGGAGTAAGTCGAAATATGGTCTCACTTATAGGCGCTGTTCGCGGTATAGTCGCCGGCCAATTCATGAACTATAGCGTGCTGGATTTCGAAGTTTTAGTGTTCTTAGTTATATCTCCGATTCTTCCATCTATGCTTTCTCTTTAATTGTTACACAATTCTTTCAATAATATATATTTTTCTCATTTCTCGGTTGTTCATGCAACTATTTATAACGTCAATTAAATTATCGGTCTGTCATATAAATTATACTTTTTTTATTTTATTAAATCTGGAATTATTAATATTATGTATATATACAGCAAGGGCTCGGAAAAGTGTTCGATATAAAGGAGGATCCGCAAGATCCGGAAGCTGAACCGTGAGTATTAAACATTACAAATATATATTTGTAAAAAATATTTTACTAACAGCCATGCATATATAAGTATTCGGTAATAATCGCATTATCTCTTATATTTGCCAATTGTGACCGATCCTTTTTTAATTAATTTTTCATAAATTATCGCAAAGATCGTACAATTGTAGAGGACTTTTCTACTCAGTTTGACCCCTTTTTACTTGCATATTTATAATAAAATTTAATTTATAACAACAAGAAAAGATATATTCGCTGTGAGAGCCTATCGCGAATGTACATACATGCGCGAAGACAACGAAAATTTTTTTGCCGCCTTATATATGTGCACGAAGCACGAAATTTGCTTAGCCGTTACTAAGACTTGTTAAGGAACAATCTCAAATTTGAGATCTGAATTCCTCGGTTTCCTTTACCTCCCTAAAGTGATGTAGATGAGAAATTTGAATAGCTTAGTTGAAGAACAGTCACCCGGCAAGCGAAAGGTTTCGGGTTCGATTTCCGATTCAGCCGACTTTTTCGGACCAATATATTTTTCTCGTCTGCATCACTCTAGGGAGATAAAGGGGATCGAGAAATTCAGATCTCAAATTCGAGATTGTTGTTCAACAAGTCTTAGCAACGGTTAAGCAAATTTCGTGCTTTGTGCACATATATAAGACGGCGAAAATTAAATTTTCGTCGTCTTCGCGCATGTACATCCGCGATAGGCTCTCACAGCAAATGTATTTTGTTTTTAATTTATATAATATTAAATTTAATTTAATTTATTAATTTATTAATTTATTAATTTATTAATTTATTAATTTAATTTAATTATTAAAATTTAATTTATAACATAAAATTAAATCTTTAGTAACTTTAGTCAAACTATTTTCTTCTTTAGGGATGTAAAACCGACGAAAGTGACGAAAGCTTATTTGTTTGCGGCGGCGTACGCTTCGTCTTTCGGAGGTACTGGAGCTCTCGTCGGTACTCCGACAAATCTCGCCTTCAAGGGTATCTACGAGTACAACTTTCCCGACGCCGACCCCATTACCTTCGGCGCCTGGATGGCTGCCTCGCTCCCGCAAATGGCTGCGAATTCGTTTCTACTGTGGCTGTATTTGCGAATCGCTTTTCTGGGATATTTGAGGCCGCGCAGCAAGGACGCCGAAATGGCAAGAATCGGCGCAGAAGGCGAGGCGATAGCGAATCAGGTACAACAATATAAACGTTTTCTTAGGGAGCCCAAATTCGAAGTTGGTCGAAGAGGCCTTTAATAATCTTCTTCGATTAATTAGTAATTACAAGCTATTAATAATTAGCGAAATACTTTTCTCTTTCAAGAAATTTATCTATTTACTTCAATAACAAGATTGAATAATACAATTAAATGAATGTTATTTAATAGATACTGCGAAAGAACATTTCCACGTTAGTAACAAAGTTCAGTTCAGTTTAATATTAATATTTAATATTTTTACATAACGACCCAGACAGCACAATATATGCAAAAGATATTCAGAGGATATTCTTAGAGGATATTCAGAGGATATCCAGAAGAACATCCTCACGATATTCTCTGAACGTCTTCTGATATGTGTGCCGTTAGGGAAGTTAGAACATATGTAATTAATGTTAGACGATTAGCTCTTATTTAAAAAGTTATGTTATCTGCGAACCAAAGAAATATATATTGTTGTAGGTAATAAATCAAAATCTTAAGAACTTAGGCCCTATGACCTTTCACGAGATCTCCGTTGCAACAGTCTTCATGGGATGTATATTCTTATGGGTGTTCAGAGCTCCAGGATTCGTTCGTGGATGGTCTGAACTTCTGACGGATATGTGAGTTTAAATTTTCTTACTGTTTCTTTTATTAAACATTTTTCATTAAAAAATAACTCTACTATAATTGCACGAGAATATATCATAGGCATTTGGGAGACTCAATGCCCGCGATCTTGGTGTGCGTGCTAATGTTCTTTATCCCAAAGGATCCTATCTTCGTGCGCTTTTGGAGCAAAGACCGTAAGGATCTCTATATAAACTATGATTACCGAAGTCAGTACGGACTCGCGATTCGAGTAGCAAGTTACGTTAAGACCCTTTCTCAAAAGGTAAGCGAATAGTAACTTGTTACTCGATATTCGCTTTCCCGTTAGGTTAGATTCCGAGGCTAACGTGCCGTTAACTTCGGGCGTGTCTCCCATCTGTGATCGCGAAATCTCGTAGCTTCCAGACGGCCGAGAAGATCGTCCGAGGGTTTGATCACGTGGGAGGTCATTCATACAAAGATGCCATGGAGACTAGTGTTTCTGTTGGGCAGCGGCTTTGCCATCTCGAAGGGTAGCAGCGTCTCCGGACTCGCCATGAAAGTAGGATTGGCTCTAGTACCTCTGAAGGAATTACCTCCCATGCTGATGTTAGTCGTCGTCCTTTTGTTCGTCGGTACTATGACAGAGTTCACTTCGAACGTCGGCACGGCCAACATACTTCTACCCGTCGTCGCTCACATGGTGAGAGTTCACCCAAATATATTTTTTACACTATTTTTAGAAAGATCCAAATGGACACAGAACAACTGGATACAATCATCCACCTGTGCCTAGGTGACTAGTACAAGTGACCAATCAAAAAATTGCATTCAATTGACTAATAAAAAATGGATTCTTTATAAAAGGGGAACCATATAATTGCATTAGTCCGCTTTCTTCTCTTTCTTTCCACATAAATATATATATATCTGTTTCATGTTAGTATACATTAATACAGAAAGAATAAACCCAAAGTGTCCAATTGGGCTTCTATAGCTTTTATCATTTATTTATTCAACATAATAATAATCTTTAAACATTACGGCATTTATTTAAAATCTGCACTTTTTGTGATATCGTTTCTTACGTTTACTTCTCGAAGTGCGTAGCGATGAGAATACATCCGTTGTACCTGATGATGCCGGTGACCCTAATGTGTTCATACGCGTTCAGAATGCCGGCAGCCACGCCACCAAATGCGATCATCACTGTGGCGGGTCACGTGCAAACTCGAATGTTAATAGCAGCCGGATGCGTCCCCGCAATATACTGTCTGATAGTGCAAGTTATCTTGTTTCCCACTTGGGGAGCATTCGTTTACGGGATCGAAGAATTCCCGGATTGGGCGAAGCGGTACGATATCAACCAAAAGCCATAAGCCAGCTTTCGCCACTCGTTTCCCTAATGATTTTCGCTTATGACGATAATCTAACTGTAAAGGATATATATATTTAAGGGCATATATTTTTTAATATATTAAGTTATATATTTATGTTCATGTATCAGGATCGATTATATTCACGAATAAAATCACTTTAATGAAAATCACACTGTCAAATGGTAATTTTGGCGCAACTAAATTATTGATTCCACTGTTCATTAATTAATAGTTTCACATATAATTAATATTAAATATATATCAATGCTAAACGTATTATAATTTGGTTGAGATATACATATATATGAGAATATTTTATAAAAATTTACTATTGAGAAAGTATTAGTTTAATAATATCTCTCATTAAATATATAATACTGCTGACAATGTTAATAAAAAAATTATTTTCTAAAATTTTTGAAACAATTTTAACATTTGACTCTTATTTTTAAAGAAAAAAAATATTTAATATATTTACAAAATTTCAAATTAAAAATTTTTTATAAGTTTTAATCTCAAATTGAATTAGATTTTAAAAACCAAAAACGCTTATTAACGGAAAAAAGTAAGAAAATTGATAAAGATTAGAAACAATTAGGCACGTTCGCAATCTTTGTATTTTTCAACAAATGTCTTCTGCCGACCCTTAAAAGTAGAGATCTATTTCGCGCGAGCTTTGCAGCGTAGCAAACACGTACAGACGCGCAAATCTAATGGAAGCTCAGATATTTTGATCAAAAGATTCTTGTAGAAAATTATATTTTTTATTTTCTGTTAAAAATTTAAATATTGAATTTTTATGAATCGCATATAATTAATAAATATATTTCTATGCATTGCAATAATAATTTTATACGCATGCATTGCAATTTTTAAGGTTTTATCAAAGAATAATATAACTTCGCTTTGCACACCTAATTATATTCGATTAAATTAAACGAAATGAGAAAAAATATATAAAGAAATATATAAAGAAATACAAAATAGTATAGAAATTATCAAAGACGCGCGTAAAGCGCGCTTATGAATGTAGTCTAATATAATAAATTTATGACTGATAATAAAATTTATACTTTAAATATATACATATATATATATATATATAAAGTGTTATAAGCTCTGTTTTTTCGTCATTACTAGAGATATTAACTTCAATATTTTTTTTTTTAATTAAATAGAACAGGATACGTGAACATTTGTCGGATAAATAAAAATGTTGAGAGACTTTTAAAAGCAAAATGGAAGGTCGGTTAAATTGAATGAAAAAATCTTTTTTTATAAAAAAATAAATAAATATTTTTTTTATAAAGAAAGACGATAAAAATAAAGAAATTTTTTCCAGTAAAATAAAAAATTTTCGAATTTTAAGCTGAAATTTATACGACAAATAATGTTGTAGAATATATGTAGATAATTAAACATATTTAATATTAATTATTGGCCATATACATTCACGATTTGAAATTTGCTGTAATATTAATTGTCGATCAGAAAACAAATTAACGAAGACTCGAGACTCGAGCGACAGATTGCGTTGAGGTTGAGAAATCACGTTTGCAAATTGTAATCAATATTCAGATTATATCGATCAATGCCGATGTATTTTTGAGAGGATGTTGGATTTATGCGACACGCATCTAATTTTTAAATAAATGGACGAACAGAGGGACTATGAAGACGAACAGCCAAGGGAAAGGTCAGTGTACAAAAAAATTTAATATTGAATGAAAAACATTTTATTAAATAGCATCACAAAAAGATTGTAAAATAATTAAACTTCTGCAAGGAGCTTTGTTAAAAAGCTTCAGAAGATACTCAAACTTATTATTAATGAAGAGTAAACATATATGAATTTATGCAATGAAGAAACCTAATAAATTGTGCAATTAGGGTTCGAAGAAGAGAAGAATTTGTCATCTATCTTAGAAGACTACTTAGTTATCTGAGAGATATAGGACGTTTTCTCAAGATCTATTGGAAGATCATCTTCGCACTTCTCTGGGCGCTCTTCCTTCTACCGTTTCTATTGCTTTACGATTCCTCAGTATTCTATATTTCTTATTAATATTAATCTCTTTAATTTTAACTAATTATTAATTTTAATTAATTCTATTTCTTAACTCTTAATTTTTAATTATAATACATATAATAGAAAGGCTTTAAGAGCCGAACGCGGATGTTCATGCGTGTATATTCCAACGAAAATTAATTTTTCATCGTAATTAAATAATTGCACAAGGCACGAATTTTGCTTGGTCACTGCCAAGACTTAATAATATATGAGAAATAATCTCATCTTTAAAATTTAATTCCATCAAACCGTCTCTGATCTCCCTAAAGAAATAAATGCTAGAAAAATATAGATCCGAAAGTCGTTGAATCGGGAATCGAATCTTAATAAGTCTTAAGGGGACGCTGTCAACCTAATCTAATCTAATCGATAAGAAAACTGTAATTATATTTAACTTTCTTGGGGTTTCTTTTTATATATACATAACCCAGATTTGTTATTAATACTTTCTAGTAAAGGATTTTTCATTCTGTATTGACAATAAATAGTTAAATGAAAATAATATTTGTTGCTAAAAGAGACAGTCAGCATCCCGCGGCCATGTTAGATTGTGACGTCAGAGGTCAGAAAGCACACGCTGAAAATTCTTAAATGCGCATTTTTAAATAAAAAGATATATATCGTAGAAACACTATTTCAAATGGCTTTAGTACATTTTTTAAATATCTCAAAAATTATTCTTTTTTTTTGACAATCAAGCAAGAACCATAAAATGATCGTGATGTCAACTTTGTCATGCAGATGAGTGACTATATATGCGCATGTGCAAAGACCAGATGGGCCTCATTTAATCATTTTACAGTTATTGATTAATTATGAAGGGAAAAAAGATTTTAACGTATTTTAACAGTGTGTTAAAGCCATCTGAAGTGTTGTTTCACCGAAATATCTTTTTATTTCAAAATGGCATCTAAGAATTTTTAGCCTGTGTTTTCTCGTCTCTGACGTCACAATCTAACATAGTCGATGAAGAGCCAAGAACAAAATTTATAAAGAAATAACCAATTTCCAACAGAAATTTGATTCTTCCTCTGCGAATTTAAATCTCGAGCCTTAGACTTCCGTCTCGTGATAAATGTCAAATCCCCTTGACAGCACACATATCCCGAAGACGTTCAGAGAACATCCTGAGGATGTTCGAATGTCCTCTGGATATCCTCTGAATATCTTTCGGATATGTCGTGCTATTAGAGCCTAAAACGATACGTTTCTGACTTTTGCAGGAGGTTAGATGTGCGTATGTGGTGTTGCTAATGGCCGGCTACTGGGTAACCGATTGCTTCCCGATGGCAGTGACGTCACTGATTCCGGTAGTGATGTTCCCGGCTTTAGGTATACTAAGTACGGCGGACACGTGCGCTTGTTACATGAACGACACTATAATGGTGTTCATCGGCGGTCTGATCCTCGCCATCGCAATCGAGCACAGCAATCTGCATCTCAGGATAGCCCTCGGAGTGATGAAGACGGTTGGCTGCAGCCACGCGAGACTCCTCGGCGGTCTCTGTGTGGTCACGACCTTCATATCCATGTGGGTGTCCAACACCGCGGCTACGGCCATGATGGTGCCCATCATATTTGCTGTACTGCGCGAATTGGAACAGGTGTCATATACTTAATACGATACAGGGTGTCCCATTTTAATCTATCACCCCTCGTAACTTTGCAGGGATGGTAGAAAAAAATGTTTCAGAAAAATATGTTAGAGAAAAAAATTCAGAAGAAATTATCTGATGGTGACCTTGATCCTGACTTTGAGGTCAAGAATTTGAAGGTCATTTTAAGATTAGTATAAAAATTTTTAATTAAAGTTCAAGCTTTGTAACTCGGAAAATACTGAATAAAAAAATACTTTATTATAATGTTTTGGAAAGCTCTTGAGATAAGCTATAAAAATATGTAATGAGAAATAGGAATTTTAATTTAAAAATTTTATATTAACCTTCAAATGACCTTTAAATTTAGTTTTTTCACAAAAAAATGTTGTAAGAAAACATGATATAAAAAACAAAAAATATGTTTTACGAAATAATCCTATAGGAGTTAGAAGCAAGTTTAATTAGAATGCAAGCATGTCTGGATCAACTTGACGAATATTTTGAACACTTACTATAATAATAAAATAATTTTTTCCAAATTTTCTTCCCTATTTCTGTTTTCGAAAAAATATAGTAAACTTTTTATCACTTATTCTGTATATGCAAATATAAGTAATAATTAATACGATGAAAAAATATATTCACAATCTTTAAATGTATAGTTAAAAATTATTTATAATATTTCAATATACAGGGTGTCTGTCATAAGATATCATACCGAAATACACAAAAAAATATACAAGTAAATCTTGTTATTTGGAGACAATTTTTCCTCAGCAAAAATATTGAGACAATAATTTTCGAGTTATAAGTGATTGAAAATAAAGGGTTTCTCGCAAAGTAAGTCTCGTGGTAATAAAATATTAACAAAATCACATTATTAATTAATATAAAGTAAAGTTTACTTTAATAAAAGTTTAATTTAAGGTTTAGTTATAAAGATACATGATAGCAAAATTGAGAACATGCAAAAAATGATAGCCTCCCTCATTTTTGCTGAGGAAAAATCATCTCCAAATGAGATCTACTTGTATATTTTTTGTATGACATTTTATATCAGACATCCTACATAATAAAAATATAAAATATTTAAGTTAAATAATATATTTTTAAAAATATATTTTTCTCTCTTCTATCGAGTTATCATATTATACATAAATAATACTTATAATACAGAATTAAAATATTTCTTTTGTTCTTTTTTTAGTTAACTTTGTTCATACTTGTTGATTTTATTATGTATTTCAAACATATAATAAATATTATTAAAAAATTTCTATTACATAATAAAAACAATAGATTATATTTAAACACATTATATGTATATAAATTGTACATAATGTATATGAAACTTTTATTCTCTATTTTATTTATTTATTTGTATTTCTCTTTATAGGCTGGAGTAGGTGCGATATTCAAATCAAAAATAGTGGATCCAGAAAGACCGGACATTCCGCCGTAAGTGAAACGATATATAGCGATAATTAATCGATATATAAATAATAATATTACAAAAAAAATTTTAATAAAATTACGAAATAATATAATAAATTAAATTATATATATAATATTTAGTTTATATATATATATAAACTAAATATTAATTAAAGAGTTGAACATAAATTGGATTTAAATTATTAAAATTGTACATATATATAATTATGTAAATTATGAAAAATTTAAATTATTCAAATTAATTTGTAAAAATTAAATAGATCAATAAATTATGAAATAACATAAATTATTAAAATTAATTTAAATTGAATTATATGGCAGATTAAAATTTTTATTATATTTTTATAATATAATATAAATAATTTTTATAATTATAAAGAATTTTTATTATAAAAATATATTTGTATATATATAAAGAATTTTAATTATATATATCTTAAGTGATAAATCTAATGTTAAAAAAAAAATACGAAGGTCGATTTCGTATAAGTAGTATATATTTTTAGTAAAAAATTTTTAACAAAAGCTTAAAAGCTGTTCTTCATATATGTTGACGCAATATCACACGATGATCCTTTTTCGTAGCGAGATAAGACCGACGAAAATAACGAAGGCATATCTGTTAGCCGCGGCTTATTGCTCGACGTTCGGCGGAACCGGAACATTGGTGGGAACCGGCACAAATTTAACCTTTAAGGGAATCTACGAGAGCACATTTCTCGATGCCGAGGGAATCAACTTCACCGACTGGATGATCGCGTCCTTTCCCCAAATGCTAGTCAATTCCTTCCTCACTTGGGTGTACGTGCGAATCGCTTTTTTGGGATATCTGAGACCGCACAGTAAAGACGCCGAAATGGCTACGATCGGACGTGAGGGTGAAATTGTCACAAATCAAGTAAAATCATATAATATATAAAGTTTAAAAATTATTTCAATTCTTATTGATTAGAAAATTTTGGACAGAAACCATTTTCCTAATTACAATCTTTTATCTGGAAAAATAAATTTACTTATTCATTTCTAATATAATTGCGTGGGATCCAAATAATTGTGAAAACATTTAAGATGATTCTTTGTTAAAAATTAAGGGTTTTTTTAAATATAAATTATATATTATTATCTATTATAATAATTGACACAGGAATGTGTATGATAAAAAAGTAATATATTAAGAACAATGTTTGTTAATAATTATATTGAGAACAGAATAATATAATATATCTGACAATGAACGGAAAGAAAGGATATCTCGTAGTAGTAAGTGCCCAGATAGCACACAATATTTATGATAAAGGTTCATAAATATTTATGAATATATATTCTTTTCAAATATTATATAAATCTTTTGAAAATGTTTTATAAAAACCTTTATTTAACATATTATTAAAATATAGATTAAATTTTTCATATAATATTTATGGTATGTAAAGATAAATATTTATCGTATTTTATTTTCGTCGTGAAAATTATATAAGGCTGGCAAAAACGGAAATTAATAAAAGTAAAAATGTCATAAAATTATTTCTATTTTTGAGCTACATTCTACAACAAAATGTCTTTTAACAAATAAATTTACGCATATATCAATGTGTACGTAAATTTATTTGTTAAACTACTCTGTTGCCTAAGTATATTTAGTGTATATTATAATTTTATATTCTATTTTAAAATATAAATGTCTAATAAGTTACTTATAAACTTTTTTTTTTACACATTTTTAACTTTTATAAATGGCTAAGAGTTTGAAAAACACAAAAACATCTAATCGATCAAATTTTAAATTAGACTATATCAACCGATGGCTTTGATTAAAAAATCGTTAATTATGTCTTTTTAATATATTACTTCTTAATATATTACTTTTAACTCATGATTTCTTACTGAGTATTTATTAAAGAAAATATAAATTTTAAAAAATTTGTATCATAATGATTTAATAAATATATATTTACTATAATATATTTATTGTAAATATTTTCTTCTCCTGAGGATTATACTCCTTCAAATAAGGAGGAAAAAGTTAATTTCCTTTTTTTCTTTAATTTTGGACAAATTAAAAAAATGAAATTTTGGTGAACATTCTTCACTAATAAAAAGGTTATTAATATTTAGTTATTAATATTTTTTAATCCTCTTGTTATTATTATAAGGAGATGAAATTAGCAATTCCTATTCAATTTTTTATTAGAAAACTGATTTCAACAAATGATAATTATTCACAGGTTATACAGGAGAGATATAAGAATTTGGGGCCCATAACTTTTCACGAGTACGGAGTGGCCACATTGTTCTTCATGTGCGTATTTCTATGGATATTCCGCAAACCCGGTTTGTCGTCGGATGGTCCGAATTGATCACTGATATGTTAGTACTTTATTATTTATTATTTATTATGGTAAAACATAATAGAAGATATAGCACCATGTCCAAAATTAGTGCATAAGACATCATTAAGAAATATCTTTAAGAAACCTAATTATGATATGATATTCCAAAAACATCTTAAAGATGTCTTATGCACCAATTTATTTGGACATGGTTGTTTTGCTGTTTGGAATATGTATACACAATATTTTATGAGAAATAATGAATGTACAGAGATCTCAGAGATTCAGTGCCAGTGATATTCGCCGCTATCTTGATGTTCTTCATCCCTAAGGACCCCAGCTTCATCTACAGTTACAGTCAAGATCGTAAGAAGTCGTGAAAATCTCGTTATTCCAACATACTTCAATATAATAATAACTCTACAAATATCATAGAATGATTTGTAAAAATTTTACGTTCGGTTTATTTTGAAATTTACAGATTTTACACATACTTATTAAAACTCCTGGGTCCTCGCCGCGGCCATGTTTGATTGTGACGTCAAAGAAAGCACGCGCGGAAAATTCTTATTTGGTGCTTTCCATTTAGCAACACAAGCATCATTCTATCTTTATTCTTATAGAATGTAGAACAAAGACAGAATGACGCTTGTGTCGTTTTGTGTTGCTAAATGGAAAGCACCAATTGTTAGATACAATTTCGAAAAAAAATTTTTTGAAATAGCATCTAAGAATTTTTAGCATGTATTTTTTCGTCTCTGACGTCACAATTCCAACACGATCGGTGAGAAGCCAAGATACATCTGCGATTACGTTTATATTGAAAATGTATGTCGCAGCCGCTAAAAGACCAAAAAGATCGTCGGAAGGTTTGATCACGTGGAAGGTGATCGAGACTAAGATGCCGTGGAGTCTGATGTTCCTTTTAGGAGGCGGTTTCGCGATCTCGCGTGGAAGCGTCGCCTCCTGCATGGCAAAACGAATTGGCGAAGCTCTGATACCGCTTCGCTATCTACCACCCATTGTAATACTTGCTTTAGTGTGCTTCTTCGAGGGTACATTAACGGAATTTACCTCGAACGTGGGCGTCGCGAATATCACTTTACCAGTGATAGCTCAAATGGTAAGCGAATATATTCCAAATAACAATAACTGACGTCATTGATAATGATTTCATTTTGACATTCAATGACGTCATTCGATGTCAAAATGGAACGTTTTCGTACTTGCATATCTGTATATTTATGTATATATTTTTTATAAAATATTTATATAAAATAACTTTATACTCACATTATTTTATTTTCTATTTAATCCCAAGTAAATTTCTTGCTTCGCAAATTACTCGCACATTAATATTAAGTAATTAATATTATTTTTTATTTTAAAGAATAGGCAGGGTTAGGTGTAATAAACTTAATTAGTTAAAAGTTAAAAAGTTAATAACTTTTAACTTAGCTTAGTTAATTCAAAATGTATTGATTTTTAACTTTAATTCAAAATGTGTTGATTTTTAACTAGTTATATTTGATCTTAAACTTATCAACTTTTTTTATAAATTAAATTTTTTTAACTCTGAATACCATTATTGTTTTTTTATAAATTATAAACGTATTATTTTTAAATTAAAGTATTATTAATTTTGTTCATTTATGTTCATTTGTCATCAATTGTAATATTATTACCAAAAAATATGTTTCTATATAAAAATCACAATTTCTTTGCTATTAGGTATTATAAATTTTAAAAGAATTAACAACCAAAATTCTAATTTAATATACTAAGTAATGTGTTTTTAAAAATTAACTTTTATTATTTAATAATATTAAAGTACAAAAGTAAAGCTTGCTCTATATTAATAAATAACATATATCCGAAATAGAAATGCTATTGGAGCCGAACGCGGATGTATATTATATGCATATAGACAGCGAAAATTTAATTTTTTCGCTGTCTTTTAAATTGTGCACATGTTTTATTATTTAACTTTAGTTAATTTAATTTTAACTTAACTTTAACTCAGTTAACTGTTTGTTCATGCAACTTTTAAATTACTAGACAACACAAACGCGCGCATCGCACGCTCCTTTGATATCATTTCCATATTGTTTATTTTACAACTGTCAAATTGTTCATCTTTGCAATAACAGTTGTTTGATGATATGACCATAATTTTAATTCGCCGAATTTCTATTATATACATAATTTTAATTCGCTGAATTTCTATTATGTATATAATTTTAATTCTTGAATTTTTATTATGTACATAATTTTAAATCGCCGAATTGCTATTATGTACATAATTTTAATTCCCAAATTTCTATTATGTATATAATTCTAATTTATTAAATTTCTATTATCTACATATAATTTTAATTTGCCGAATTCCTATTGTATTATTTGTGAAGTATTTTGTATAGATGTATCTCTTTATATATTTTTTCTCATCTTGTTTGGTTTAATCGAATATAATTACGTGCACAAAGCGAAGTTATATTATTCTTTGATATAATAAAACCTTAAAAATTGCAACGCATGTATAAAATTATTATTGCAAATTGCAATGCATGCATAGAAATATATTTAATAATTACGTGATTCGTAAAAATTCAATATATATTATAAATTTTTAACAGAAAACAAAAAAATAATTTTCTACAAGAATTTTTCGATCAAAATATCTGCGCTTCCATTAACGCTTTGCGTGCGTTATTGGTATTATTTTTATTTTTGTTTGATGCTATTAATATAATAAACTATGCCTTTTTAGGAAGGAAACTAAATTTTGTAAGTAACTAACTTTAATTTAACTTATTGTTAGTTTTTAAAAATCTTACTCAACTTTGAGAATAGGTGACTTTAATGATGAAGCACAAAAAGATATCTCTTTATAAAATTGAATTTTTTAATATTCAAAAATTAGCTCAATTTTGTGATTTTCTTTTATCTCTCTATCTTTCTCTTCATTTTTAAATATTTATAATATCTTATTATACATTTAAATATTAAATATTAAATTTTCTATTTTTTCATAGTACACTTTGTTTAATTTCTCGTCATTGTCTTCATAAATATAATATATATTTATTACGCATAAATTGATAATTTTTTTATAAAAAATATATCTGGGAAAAAATTTAAAAACAAAGACTACAAAAGATAAGGCTACAAATTTAGAGTTAAAAACACTTTAATTGTAGCCTTTTTGTTGACATAAATGTGTAGCAAGCAAGATTAAGTAGACTTGGCTGATTGTTTTGTTTTATATTTTTGTTTTATATATTTAAAATGTCTATTGTTAACAATTTTTTCCGAAATATTCTTTTATAAAAAAAATATCAATTTACACGCAGAAAAAATATACATAAATGTAATATAAAATATACACATTATTATATTTATGGAGACAGTAACGAGAAATTAAATAAAGTATATACTATAAAAAAAAAGAAAAATTGTTATACTATAATTTTTTACTATAATTTAATATAATCTTATATAAACTATGAAATATCACGTAAACTATTCACTTTTTAACTATCCTACCTTTATAACTTTATGCAGAATATTGTGAGGATTCGATTTATGTAAAAAAAATATAATGGTCCCTTAAGCGAAATTAAAAGTTCTCTTCACATGACCTTCAAACTAATCAAAGTCAAATCATTGTCACTATTTTATATCTTCCTTAAAATTATACAACTTTTATTTCACCCCTTAGAATCGTTTTTATACTGCAACTAAAAATGTATTCTAAATTCATCCTTTTTATGCAAATCTGTTAACCAGTGTTGTGCTTAGATAATTTTAAAATCAGTTAGATAAAGATGAGGTAAAAATACGTAAATTCATCTTACCATTAGATAAGATAAAAATAATTTTGTTTTAAATATATCTAGATAAAAAATAAAATTACATGGCGATTTATCTAGATAATTTTCAGATAATATTATCTTTAAGATTGCTTATGTAAATACAGTTATAAAAAAATATAAATTATAAAAGAGATATAAAAATATATGTACTCATTTTTATTTATAAATATTTATCGCTTACTGCTTAAGTTCTACTATTTAAGTATTTTTATGTATTATAATTCTAAACCAAAATTATCTGAAAATTATTCTAGATAATACTTTTTTTCATCTAAGATGCAGATATAGATAATACATATTTTTATTATCTATATAAAGATACGATAACGCCAAAGTTTAATCTATACTCATCTATATATAAATTTATTTAGATAACAGCAAACACTGCTGTTAACAAATTGCACGCAATTATATTTATCGAATATTTTTGTCCGTTCGCTATAGTGCGTAGCGATGGAGATGCATCCCATGTATTTGATGATACCGGCCACTTTGATGTGCTCGTTCTCGTTTCGTCTCCCGGTCGGAACACCGCCGAACGCGATCGTAACCATTTCCGGACACATCCCGACCAACTGGCTAATCACCGGAGGCTGCGCACCCGCGATCTACAGTTTGATAGTAGAAGTCATCTTCTTCCCGACGTGGGGCGTCTTCGTTTACGGAATTAAGGATTTTCCTCACTGGGCCAGACATGCCGAAGTAGGAAACAACACGAATACTTGTTAATAAATGTCGCGAAACTTCAGATTTTTTATCGTCTGATTTCTTTCCGCAAAATTCATCGAATTGCTTGATATTAAAAAATTAATATATTAATTACAAATGCATAAAAAATTAATACATTTATTATAAATACCTAAGTAGCCTATATTATATTTTATACAAGAAGTAAAATATATGTATAAGGCTCTGATAAAATAAACACAATAAAAATCCAATAATAATAGGCCAGTAAGAGCCGCAACGCGGGTGGTAAAGGCGTAAGTAAAAACAATAAAAAGGTATAAATCAAAAATAAACTTTTTTTTTGAAACGTTTAATTAAATTTTTTGTCTTAGTTTATTTTTGATTTATACCTTTTTATTGTTTTACTTACGTCTTTACCACCCGCGTTGCGGCTCTTACTGGCCTATTATTGGATTTTTATTGTGAATATTTTATACAGTTTCTTTCATATTTTATTACAGTATACGTACGTATATACAGTATAATATTAATATAATCTTTATCATACATATTTTTTGCACACATATTTCTCTCTTAAATATACAATTTAAAATAAAAAACCATATGTACCATATATTTCATGAATATTCATTATCTTTTAAAAACTGAATGTAATGTCAAATATTTTAATACTACACTTTACAAAATATATATTGTGTATATATGATAACAATGTTGTAATGAGCAGCAAAGAGTGATGACAAAAAGACCTGTCTTTTCGCCCATTTTATAGGGTCGATTTTTGAGACCTCAAATTTCAAACTATTTTTATTGCAAATAGTACTATATGATGAGACATTAATCCCAGAGAAATTTCAAGATGAGCATACGTACGGTTCCTTAGATATGAAGAAGTGAAAGTGATAATTTCTCATAAAACTGACTAAAAATCATCACTTTCCCCCTTGTATCTCCGAAACCGCGCCTATGCTTATCTTGAAATTTTACTGGGATTAATATTTCATGTAATAGTACTATTTGGCATGAAAAAAAGTTTGAAATTCGAGGTCCCAAAAATAGGCGAAATTTGTCCTCACTCTTTCTTCCAAAACAAATTTCAATATAATGAAATAAATGCATAAATAAAAAATCGCATTAGATTTTATAAAAACGTTTTTTATATAAAAATATAAAATACTTATGCATATAGGGCATTCCATACCAAACCAACGACTTTTTTCCCTGACCATTTGTTATTTGCTTCATTTTTTTATCTTTTTGTATCCATTGAAAGTAGGCTTTCATGAATTTTTTTAGATTTTTATCTTTATTAATTATCAAATTATATATTTTTAAAAACATTGATTTTTTTGAATTTTAAAAATTTCAAATAATTTAAAAATAAATATATTGTCATTAATAAGGTGGTTATTTCTTTTGTCTTTGAATATATTTTTTAAATAAAATATTGAAATAATTAAAAAAAGAAAATTTAATGGTGTTTTAGTCAATTTTAACCGAAATTATTTAGTTTTCCTCACTCAATTTTAACCGAAATTATTTAGTTTTCCTCACAGAGACCCCTTCTATTTTTTTCATAAAAATATATAACATTTTAGACTCTAAAAAAAAATTTTGAGTCTATTTTGAAAAAAATCACTTTTTTTTAGTTGTTTACACACCATTTTAATTTCAAAAAATTAGTATTTATAAAATTAATAAGCACTTATTTTGAAAAGTCAGGAAAAATTCCAATATTTGTAATTTTTAAAAATTTTTGCTATTTTTTCAAAATAGTGTTCGTCAGTTGTTTAGGCAACTCCGATTAAGAACACTTTTAAAATAAAAGATATTAATGCTATCAAACGTATTTTATTAAAAATTAGTACAAAAAGTGCTTTTTTGTTATTAATTTACATAGTTTAAATAATTAATAAATTTATTAATTAAATAATTTCAAGAGTTTCTCCTTAATCGGAGTTGCCTAAACTGACAAACACTATTTTTGAAAAAATAGCAAAAATCTTTAAAAATTACAAATATTGGTATTTTTCCTGACTTTTTGAAATAAGTGCTTATTAATTTTGTTAATATTAATTTTTTTAATCGAAAGTGTGTAAACAACCAAAAAAATGCAATATTTGAAAAAAATTCGAAAAATGGCTTTAAAAAATCGAAAATATTTGAATCCCCTTTTCGCCAATAGCTCAAAATATTTTTTTAAAGTCTAAAATGTTATACATTTTTATGAAAAAAAATCGAAAAAATCTCATTGAGAAAAAGTAAATAATTTCTGTTAAAATTGACTAAAAACATCATTAAATTTTCCTTTTTTAATTACTTCAATATTTTATTTGAAAAATACATTCAAAGACAAAAAAATGACCACCTTATTAATGACAATATATTATTTTTTTTAAGTTATAAATATTTGAAATTTTTAAAATTCAAAAAATCAATATTTTTAAAATATATAACTCGGAAATTAATAAAGATAAAAATCTAAAAAAATTCATGGAAACTACTTTCAATAGATACAAAAAGATAAAAAAATGAAGCAAATCAAAAATAGTTGAGGAAAAAAGTCGTTGATTTATTATAGTATGAAATGCTCCATAAATACGTGGAAAGAATTCAAAACTATTTTTTCAGAATAAAATTAGAGTAAAATTATATTAATATATGACTATTCACTGCTATGTATCTCTAATTGATAATAAAATTTATAATAAAATATATATATATATATATATATTGATTACGTCTAATTAGAAAACGTTCACAAAGAGAAAGTTCTAAAAATTAGAAGTTTTATATATATATATATATATATAGAGGATATCCCAATGACATGCAATTATTGATAAAAAAAAATTATGTTGAAAAGAGAATAGTTTACAATTTTTAATAGATATAAATAAAATGTTTGTATACTAGTTTATTTTATTGATAAAAAGTAATGAAAAAAGTGCTAATAATCACATATATAAACTATTGATAAATATTTTTGAAGTGCATACCATTTAAATTTGTACAAAATTCTATTCTTTTATAAAAACTCGTAAAAACTTTTTCTAACATGTCATTTTTAATGTTATTGATGATCCTTCTAAGCTGCTATTAAATTGTTGACAATATTTATTATTAGTTTATGTGATTTTATGTAATTATTAGCACTTTCTTCATTACCTTTTATCAAGAAAATAAATTAGTCTACAAACATTTTATTTATATCTATTAAAAATTGTAGACTTTCCTCTTTTCAACACAATTTTTGTTTTCTCAATAACTGCTTGCATTAAAAAATGACAACTGGTTAGTTTCAGCATTTTCCTATGGGACACCCTTCATATACAATCTCTCATTTCAGCATTTACAATCTTGTGTCACACAGCTTCTAATTAACTCACACATGAATTACTTTAGCATGAAACAAACTTTCTATGTAGAAGGATGCAGCTTTAACCCAGGTGATTCACTTTTCTTTGGAGTAGAATTAATTTCTTGTTGCTCCAATCTACGATGTCGTAACATTGTCGATAACACTCCATTGAAACTGGCAGTTTTCTTCTTGGCGCTGCCTTTTGGAGTACTCTCACCGATTCTACGCACAGGTAGCCTTGGTGACGACATTTCATCCATGAAGTCAAAGTCGGATTTCTCTTCAGTTCTATAAAATTAAGAAGAAAATATTGTTAACATAAAGAACTCAATTAAAATAAATCAAAATTATTACTAAAAATTTACTTGTATTCTTGAGATCCATGTTCCTGTAGCCGATTGTTTGAGGGAACAGGCGAGGGTCCTCGTCTACCAGGACACTTCCATTCAAGTTCTAAAACACGATTGTTTGCTTCCAAGCCTTCAATCAACGAGACTATGTCTTCAGCCTTCAGATTCCATTCATGCTATATGCACAAAGAAGAGGTTTATAAAAATTGTACAATGTAATGTGAAATGCAAACTTACACATTTACAATGTAATATATATATATATATAGTATGTACAGGGTGTCTGAGACCAAATATTTTAAAAACTGAGTGCGACAGATAAAAATGTTTTAAACAAAAATTATAGGGCTTTAACAAATACATGAAATGATGATATGTATTTGACCTTGACAGCAGTTATGAAAGAAGTCTCAAGGTCAACTTTAAAATCTTGCCAAATATTTGACACCCCGTATATAAAAGTGCTCAAATATACAAATACTGATAAATTACAAACAAAATTTCTGTTTACTTAAAAATTATGTTTACTATAATTATTCTTGAGAATATTTGTTACTGAAAAAATTATAAAAAATATTCGAGATAATGAGTAGTGATAATTTAAAGTTGATATATCGAATAAAATAGGTTACCTTCACGTTCACTTCATATTTTTCATCATCGGAGCACTCGACAAACCAGTCTTCTTCATTGCACTCCATTTCTTATTAAATATAATTGATGATAATATGTAATCGTTCACGAAGATATTTCCATTATGACATTTCATTCATATAATTGTCATTCGAAAGTTTGTCCCCTACAAACATCTGTATCTTTTCTACATGTCGGAAATATTAATCTTCGCAATAATAGTTTCACTCATCTTATAATTACAAAATGCTACTTTTGTAATTATTTGGCCAATTGATTTACGCCATTTACGATTACAATTTTTCATGTAATATGTAATTAACCTTTCATATGGAGCGCAGACATATTTGACAGTATACAAGTCCGATTACAAAATTCCAGTGCGCATGCGCGAAAATCCGATTAACAACACGGCATTCTTTTAAAATTCTTTATGATTTTTTAGTTTGTTATTTTCAATTTATTATTTTATTAGTTTCAGTACAAATTATTTTTCTTTTCTATATTTATTTATTATATTTATTTATTATTTTTATTTATTATATTTATTATTTTATATATTTTTATTATTTTTATTTATTATATTTATTATTTTATATATTTTTTATTATTTTTATTTATTATTTTATATATTATTTATTATTTTTATATATTATAAAATTAATTTATTTTTAATGCAAATCACTTTGTAAAATTAATTTATCAATGTTTTTTATCAATTGAATATCTTCAAATATATTATCAACGTGTGAATGTAATTTTAATAATTTTTGCGAAATAATAAAAATAAAATATGTTTGAAGATTACTTTTATTTATTTATGTTTTTATTTTATTAATTAAAATAAATTTTTATATATTAAATACAAATAAGTGTATGGCTCTTATGTTTTAATTATATTCCACGTAAAAATATATGTAATTTATTTTTATAAAAGTATATTTTTATTATTTTTATTTTGTTATTATTTATAAATAATGAAGTATAATTATAAAATAAACTCCTACAATATTTATTCTTTCATTCTTAGTATATGTTTAGTTTGAAAATATTAATATTTTAATTGTAATATTTTAAATTTAAATATTTAAATTTTAATTTTACGACATTTACTTTTTAAAATTTGGCGCTTTATTCAATTAAAGATGGCGATGTATCACGTGATTCTCAGAAATGTCAACAATCAACTATCGCCGGTTAGGTTAGATTAAACTTCATATTTCGCATACGAAAGATTTAAAATGGGTGGTAATGGATATACTTGTGCTGTAAAAGATTGCAAAAATACCACAAGCAGCACGAAAAGAGTTAGTTTCTTTAGATTTCCAAAAGATCTTCAAAGGTAACAGTTATTAATAATAAAATCAAGGTTAGAGGTAATAACTAGTTAATTGATTAAAAGTTAATAACTTTTAACTTAGCTTAGTTAATATAAAATATATAATTAATTTTATTTTAAAAGAATTAACAATTTCTAATTTAATATAAATAATGTTTTTAAAAATTAATTTTTGATTTAACTTTAGTTAATTTAATCTTATCTTTAACCGAGTTAATTTTTGTTCATGCAATTTTAACTTAACTAAATTAATTTTATAATTTTAACTTAATTTTAGAAAATCATTAACTTACCCAATCCTGGATAAAATTAAAAATTTCAACATCAGAGGGAGAAATTACAAAAATCTTTTCTTTTTGCATTAAATTTCTTTAGCAAAACCTTATTGTTTATTGATTTTTATTAAACATAATAATTAGTATATTTTTTTTACTAATTCGTATAGTATAATAATTAGTATATATTTCTCTTTTCAGAGCTGAATTATGGTTGAAATTTTGCAACAGAAGCATAAAGACGCCTTTGGAAAAATTGCACACTAATTATAGAATTTGTGGTGAACATTTTATATCATCGATGTTTTTAAATGATTTAAAAATAGGCTACAACCACATGCGACTCCAACTATTTTATCAGCAAATTTGGAATCTTTACCAGAAGGTAAAATTTATTCTGTATTTTATGTATTTATGAAACACTATTGTCTTTATTTTTATATGAAGCGCAAAAAATTAAGAAAATTATAAAATTTTATCTTCTTACTCTTTATATATATATATATATATATATATATATATATATATGTATATTATATATTTATATGAATATTTATATTCATTATTTTATTTATATATTTATAAGAACTTGAGTCAACTATAAATAAAGGAGAACTATTAGTGCTATATAATTATAATCTTGTTTCTCTTTTCCTTTTTCTTTAAATTTAATGATGTTGATTATTTGGTTATTTAACTACATTATTATATTTATTTTACATTATCATATTTTATTTTATTATACAATTATTTTCTGTTTAGTTTCAAGGATGCCGATGCAATATGCAATAGTTGATTGTCCAAGTATTAAAGACCAGAATAATAAACTTCTTTTCTGGTAAGCTATCAAAATATAATAAGAAAACGAAAAAAGAATAAATATTTTTAAAATAAATTACATAATTTTAATATAAAAAAAAGTTTTCCACAGGAAACCATAGCAGTACAACAGCTTAAAACTGTAGAAACAAATTTAATACCCAATCAAAGCAATGCAATAAATGAAATATATTTGCCGATTTTAGTAACACGAAAAAGCGTTTGAAAACAGATGTACTAACATCTGTAACAGATACACGTAAGTATATGTATGAATTAAAAAATATTGTTCGCATTTCTATTCTAAGATCACATAATCGTATAAACATATTTGTAATAAATGCTGTGCAACAGTAGTATTAAAAAATGACTTAAAATGATACATTTTATTGCAGAAAAATCAAATAATTAAAATATCTTTGTAAAATATATCATAAATAATACATGTTATTCACAGAGTAAACATCTTGATTCTATCTTTTGATTCTTATATTTATTAAGACTTCTTATTTGGCATTTAATTTTTACAGAAGCAGAAGAGACAGATACAAGGAAAGAGAAGACAAACACAAAGAGAACGGCAGAAGAAGCAAGCATAAGAAAAGAAGAAATAGAAGAGACAAGCCAAGAAAATATTAGGAAAGATTCGAGTATGCTGGAAAAAATACAATTAAAAATTCAAAGACTGGAAGAAGAGAATGCTAAGTTAAAAGATTTCATACAATCTTTTCAAGAGAAACACGAAAATGATTTGAAAAATCAGGCAAGCTCATTGAATGTAATTATACAAGAAAACCAAACGGAATTTCAACAAAAGCTTACGTTAAAAACAAACAATTAAAATTATTAAGAATGAAATTAAAAAAAAAAGATGACATAATATATGAATTGTTAACGACTGCTAGAACTGAATAATACATTAAATTACTTATTACATAATATTTTAGTAATTTTGGGGAAAATATCTATACATAATAGTTATATATGTATATAAAAGTTATTTTATTTTAAAATAAAATTAAGAATGAAAATTATCTCAAGATAAATGATATAGCAACGAAATGAAATTATATAATTTTGTGTTATACAAATTATATGAAATTTTTAGAAAGCATATTTTATATGTATAATTTATTAAAATTTATTATTTTTATTTTTATAAAATATATAATATTCATACTTTATACTCTTTTATAAAGTATTACAAATTAAATGTTAAAGGTTTTGAAAGAATTTTAAAAAAGTACATTCAAGAGTCTTATAATACATAATAAAAGTGCTAATTATATTATTATGTTATATAAAATGTTTATTTATTTTTTTTGGTAACATGACAGTTTAACACCAGGCATTTATAATATCGAACTTTTGTTGTTAATATATATATAATTACAAAAATGTAACAATTATATAAAAGTCAAATGTAGAGATTAGCTATATGTTTGTGTCATATATGTATAGCACAATGTTTTTCTCAAAACTACAAATTCTATAGATGCATATATAAAATGTAATTTATATTTTTCAACATGACTAAAATATTTTAGGAAGAAACTGATACAGTTTCTATCTCTAATGCTGATACTCCACGTTGTTTAATTGAAGAATAAACACCACCATAAATTTGAAATTCAAACAGAGTAATATTTGCTGTATCCAGAGGCTCGCCATCCGGAATTTCGCGTCCACGATAATAAGGCTTGAAGTCTTTCAGAGGCAACGTTATTGTGAAACATTCATCATCCGATATTGGTACCTAAAGTGAAAAACTTCAAAAAATGTTTATAATGAAAAAAATTCTCTAACACGCAATTCATATTTTCATATTTTATTCTAGTAAAAAATCTCAAGCTTATTAAAGAAAACATTAATAAATGACAATAGTAAACCAAGGATAAGAAATAAAATTTTTATGAAAAACTTTACCGTAAAGAATTGTTCATAGGTGAGATCCTCATTGGAACTCTGTCCTCGGTGCTTGAGATTGATTTTGTAATGATTATTTTGCCCCTGCCCTCGGCAAACGATTTCAATATTCTTGAATATGGACAGGTCGAGATTTACTGACTTTCTGACACCAGCAAAACCAGCCCCATTTGGTTGCGGATTCAGCAATGTGAAGAAGATCGCTCTCTGGAACAGCTGGCTTGTTTGCAATGTCAACACAGCTTTCGATTTTCCCACACTTCTCACAGTGTCAGACATTTCCCGCCAATCGTCCACGCTTTGCGCACTTGTGAAGTCAAACAGCATCATTTTGTCCCTAATTAAAAATTCATGTACATATATGACACAAACACATAGATATACAATAATTAAGTATAATTGAAACTCCATTTCCTAAGTAGCAAACTGACGTCAAAGTGACGTATACTTGCTATCTGAGTTTCTTTATTAAACAGGATGATTAATTTTAATCTTTTAATAAATATTTGGCAATCATGGAGCAATCATTTTAGAAAAAAAAAAATATATCAGGCAAAAATTGTAGAATTTTGAGGAGAACCTAGAATTACCCTTGGGTAGTATTTTTGAAAGTCATTTAAAGGTCAATCTAGTTTTTAATTAGAATCACCCTAATTTTTTTATATAAATCCTCATCGATTCCTCATTATATTTGATATAAAAAGTTATAAGGGTAGGATGATAAAAAATGAACAGTTTATGAGATAAAAATTATACAGTTATTAATTTATATAAAGAGCTATAATTATACTTTATAATTTTATATAAATTATAAAATACCTTGTAAAAATATTCATTTTTATATTATATTTTAATTGAATACTTTTATGCGCAAAATAGTGAAAGGAATGAATTAGTAGTGTCAAAAAAACACATATTAAGATTGTTTTAAATAGAAATATATGTAACTACTATGACAAAAATTACATACTGATGTTTGTATAGATAAATTTATACAATTGAGAGCAAAATGTTTTTTTTTATTTGTGGAAATAATGAATAATTTGAAAACATCTAGTTGCACATTAAAATAGTTAAATAAAAAAGAGTATGTAACTAAGTTTATTTAATTATTTGAAGGAACAACTTTTAATGTATTAAAATTTAATTTGTTAAAATTATATATTGAAATTAATTTTTTTCTGATACTGATAAAAGTATATTATAATAAAATAGATTAAAATTTACATTTATTGCAATCATTTATAACCCTTTTTGTTTATGTAATTTTTTTTATTATAGAAAACTCATTTTTCAAATCCGTAATTCTTGCATACGTATACATATAATTTGCGCATAATATGCCATGATGATTATATATCTTACCCTTACCCTCTTGTGAAGTGACACGATGCACATATCAGGATAAGAACGACGATATTTCGTAAATTCATGTGTGTTTGAAGATGTTATTTTCAAGAGATAATACACAATGTTAAATCAATAAGCTGAATTGAATCTTTGACTGCCCTTCAACGATGCAGACAATGGAATGTCAACACTGCTAGACATTCTCTGACATGTAATCTGCAATGTTTGACATTTGGTTATGAATGACATTTGACGAGCGCAGCCGCGGAACCACGTGTCATATGTCAAAGCGTTGTGTAATGAAGAAATGTGATAACAATTTTTAGTTTTAGTAACAATTTATGTATATCTATCATTTATAGTTAACAATTTTATTTTATCCATATATAATCTTTTGAGGTGATCTTCATCATTATAATTGATAGATTTATTTTAGAAAAAAAAAATGTAATAATACATTTTAATAATTGTTATAAATAAAATTATAATATTTTATATGTGTAATACATATATATATATATATTTATTATTTGAATTACAAATAAAAATAAATTATTGGCAAAATTCCTCTGAGGAAAGAAGTAGTTTTCATAAACATAAATTCGCAACAATTAATTTCTATATTACTTTATATTGCATATACAAATATGAAGATGTAACAAAATTACAATCACACAAAAATCTATTTTATATCATTTTTTAAAATATTTTTTTTTTCAAAATTTTGCATTTATAAAATGGAAGAACAAATGGAAACAAATTAAGAATCAATATTTTTCTTAGAGAAAAAATAACTGTATAGAGAACAAAAATAAAAATAAAATAGATATTATAACACAGTAAATATATAAAAACAAAAATTTGTTATATAACCTGAAATTTTATTTTGTACTTAGTGTAAAACATTCTAATATTTAAATCCTGTTGATTAATTCTATTAAAAAGATTTTATAGATATTGATACTTAATTTTATAACTATATATACATTCAAACAAATTCCACGACAAAATCAAATAAGGATTTTACAAAGTAATACTAGATGAAGAGAGAAAAATCTTTATATATTTATTTCAATGAATTAATTAAGTATATATGCCTTCCTTTAACAAAAAGAAAATTGCATTTTTTTGTTAAAGTACCATATAGAAGCATTTATTACCTGGCATTGTCTCATATTTGTATTGTACATACAAGGTATGAAAAATAATGATTTGTGAATAGATGAAATTTCTTTTAAGCAAATAAATTTTTGAAATTTTGCTATTAAATATATTCAAAGAAAGGAGCATTTTAATCCTATAAATATGTATATTTATGTATACATATAAATTTATAATTTACATTGCCTCTTGAAATATTTTAAATATTCGCTTAATAAAGGGTATAATAAAACAATAGCACCTATTATTTGAATAGATCGATAAAACTTTGATCAAATTTATTTGAGGCGATTCTTCACATTTCGCATTTTCTTGCACTATCAATACAAATAGTTTACAAGTCACACAACACTGAAAATAATAAATTTGTTCGTTGCGAATTTTCTCTACCATTCTCTTTTTTTATTTCTTATTCGCCTCTATATCAATAATATTATCTTTGTATCATCGAATCATAACAAGATAGAGTTTATATAACTTTATGTGAGGAAGAGTGCATCAATTTTGGTTTAAAATGTCTGTGGAGAACAGATAGACAAGAGACAGCACTTGAGAAAGATTTTGCTCTCTGATTCAAAGGTATAGAAGAAACTTATATGTTGAGTTGTAGATCCGCTAACAAATAAAGAAAATAGGTAAAGAAAAAAAAAGCTAAAACGCGCATGTAACATATATATTCAAATATTGTTTTATGTAATGTGCCTTTAACTGTGCTGACCATAATTCAGACTTGCATAAACCAAAAATGACTTTTAAACTTATAATTGATATAAAAAATGTATATAATATTCCATCTTTGATTTGTCACTAAATCAATGTTCAATTTTTATATATATATAAGGCTCCTGGATCCTCACCACGACTATGTTAAATTGTGAGAAAGCACACGCTGAAAATTCTCAGACATAATTTTTAAGCCAGAAGCCTAAAGAATAGATATCTTTCGAATGTTAACAAAACGTTTTTTGATCCCTCTAGTTTTTCTCTTTATCTATAATTAGTTTTGAAGATGGCCGAATTCACAAAAAGCCCATATACATAAATGTGCAAACCTTAGCAAGTAAAGAAGGTTTAAAAAGTGATTAAAATATATGACTGTTTATAATTTCAGTTAATTTTCATTGATTAAATTTCTTAAAGCAAGAACTTGCATGTTACAACAAATATGTAATCCTCCCATACATAATATAAATTAGTTAATGTAAATTTCATCACTCGTGTGTTCGCCATTACGTCGTTCAGCAGAAATTTTCAGTCAAACGTACGGAAAATATATTGATCGGTTGCTTTTACTACGCGTACATACTGGAGAAATGAATTATTTTTCTCAATCTTAATTATTTCACAACAAAATGCACGAATATATATAAAAAATCTACATAGAAATAGTATAGAAGTTGCAATAATCATACAAAAGCCATTTCATGGGTAGATCGCTGACTCTTGCTGCGTCAAGAACTAATAGCATTATTGGAATCATTTTTACCTAACTTACGTCTCTATATTGTGTGTCGGTATTTATTACTGTATCGACGCAAAAAAAAAAAAAGATTTTGAATATGTTCCTTTTTCTGGATTTTTCTTTTTAAGTAGACTTTGCTTATCAAAGGGAGGATACAGGCTAAGAGATAATCTGCCAGCTACACTTAGTACAAATCATATATGCATTAATAGTACCGATCAATTAATATATCTATATACAAACAAATAATAAGACCTAACAGGAGCAGGAGTCCTTTCCACCTTGCTGTTCATTAGATACTCCTTGGAGACTGGTACGACCTGGTTGACTGGGATTATGTTGCACACCAGACTCTGCTGCGTTTAGGTCCAATCTAGAAAACAGAAATACAAGATATGTATCATTTTTAAATGTTAAATTAAGGATCCAGGAGCCTTAATTTATAATTAAATCAATTATATTGTATTATGTAGCTGTACTATTTTTTATTTTATTTAATATACGAAGTTAAATTATTTATGTAAACTTACCGTCCGTCTTGTATACTTTGGAATATTTTCTTTGCAGTTTCCAAGAAAGCTTCCTCTACATTATGCCCTCTATTTAAGAAATTAAACCGCATAATTAAATTCACATATAAAATCATGTTAAAAATTGATATTTTCTTCAAAATATTAAAAGCATACTTACGTTTTTGCGCTAGCCTCGACAAACATTAAGCCATGTTCGTCAGCAAACTGTTTCGCTTCTTCATAGGTAACATCACGTTGTCCTTCGAGGTCACTCTTGTTACCAATTAAGAATATGACCTATAACAGGAATTAATTTATTTTTATGTCACTCGATTGTTTATAAAAATAATATAAACTATTTTCTCTTTTCTTCTGCATTATGCAAAGTTAGAAAAATTAAACAAAAATTTATTGAATTATTATTAGCAATATGCGTACAGTGCTTGGATTTGTCAAATTTCTTGTGTCTGTCAGCCAGCTACTGAGATGATTGTAAGTTGAACGACGTGTAATATCGTATACCATTAAAGCTCCAGCTGCACCTCGATAATACGATCTAAGAAGAAATAATCCTTTGTGCATCATAAACTTATTTTTAATTTTTGAAAAATATTATTTGACTTATTCCCTCATGTTATTAAATATTATTTATATATATTTTTATATAAATAATATATATATTATTATATATATTAAATTATATATATTATTATATATATTATTATATAATTTTTTTTATTAAAATGCCCTTATTATTAAATGTTACACAATTACCTAGTAACTGCTCTAAATCGTTCTTGTCCAGCAGTGTCCCATATTTGCAATTTTATCTTCTGTCCTGCTACTTCGATAATCCTAGTCCCAAATTCAACACCAATAGTATGTGGACAATCCGCCATAACTAAATTTATACAAACATTTACATGTGAGAATATACTCTTTAATTTTTCTATAAAATGTAGAGTTTTTACAAAATGTAATTTATTAAAAATAATTTATATAGCTTATATTTTCAAACAAATTTTAAAAAATATAAGCAATAAAAAAAATTTTATCTCTAACACGTAATTTTTGTCTCTCTTTCTACAACTTATCTTTACAATAAAAAGAATTTTTGCAAGCGTAAATACATTGATAACAATTAGAGTATTATCACAATTACAAATGTTATACATAATATGATGTACTATAACCATATAATTATATACATAACTATATGCAGCATTTTCTTTAAGGAGTCATAAAAAAAAAAAATAAAATTAATTTAGTACAATTCTTATTCATAAATTTATACAAGTATGTATAATTACATACATTTATTTTGTTACTTACATTTTTCTGTAAACTGATGAAGTAGGCATGATTTGCCTACTCCCATATCCCCTATAATAATGTATTTGAAGATGTAGGAATAATTGTATGGACCGGTTGACATTTTGCACCTGCAATGTAATAATTATAATAAAATTACATTTATTCTTATCTATTATTAATCATCTGACATAAAAATTAAATTTGTTGAAAGCTATTTTGAAAATATTTTTATAATTTGTTAGAGAAATTGCTTTATTTCTGTCAAACTTATTATCACGAATACCTGAGACAATTATGTTGTTTAAAGTGTACATTCTTTAAAGTGCGATTATACTTCACAGAATACAGTACATTGTTTGTTTCATTCAATAGAAGATAACAGATATATGAGTCATGAGAATATAGGCTACTATAAACAAAGGTGAGAATCTCTTCATGCAATGTTCAGTAATTGACTTATTACCATCGCAATTATGTAAAAATTCTTAAAAGCAATATCAATCTTGAAGGAAGAGTGTAATATTCTCCTTTATATCCTTTTATATAAATTATACAAATTATGCAATTCTGATAATTGATAATTATGGAGAATATTAATTTCATATTAATAACATATCATACAGTAACGACATATATATATATATATATATATGTGTGTGTGTGTGTGTGTGTATGTATAAATTTTAAGATAGAAATAAATGATTGATTATAGCTTCGTGGCTTTTGTGGCACACTTAAAAAAACAGGTTAAACCTATGAATAATTCATGAACGAGCTTTCCTCGGGGAATTTTCCTCGTCGAATAATTAATAATCTCAATAGTCAATGAAAATTCAAAGACTAGATGATTAATACGACGTACGAGGAACATGTGTGTCATATCGGAGCTTTCTACGAAGAGAGCAGACCCTCCAAGGCAACGTTAACAATACCCCTCTCCTGCCGCGCTGTCCACTCCCATAATTATGTTACGACTAATTAGCGGAGTTTTCACAATCAACGGAGCGTGATCGAAGAATCGAAGGAGGATGGAGGAGGGAGAAGAGTAGGAAGAGGAAGGTGGCTCTCATCGGGGACGTCGCTCGTTTTCACCATCGGAGATTGACGGATAACGCGCCGTCAGATGTCAACAATGGGGGTGTCATTTTTTTTTTTTTTTTTACTCACGCGTTTAGTGTATCGGCGACCTCTTCCTTTTTTTTCGCTGGTCGCTGCAGATCTTTACTTGCGAGGAGAGTGAAATCGTACGCTCGCGTGAATGCGTGGTAAACACTTCGCGAACAGTCGAACGTCGCACGAATTCCCTCGATTCACTCTGTCATCGAGTAACACGAAGGTACACGCGAACGACGTTTTTCTCGCCCGCCCCCTCTCTCCCGAAATCCGCGCACAAATATGGCAGGCCGCGCTGTCGGACGACGATGGCGGCGACGACGAGCAAACGTCCAAACCACTGTCAGCTGTCACCCTGTCAAACTGACACTCGGCTCCGCTCGGTTGCGCTGCCTTCGCTCTAAAGCCGAGTCCGCAAGAGGAAATTCACCAATCACGGGCAAGTACGGGGAGAATGCTCGACTGTGATTGGTTAAGGCCTCGTTCACAATGAGCGATTTAAGCCCTAAACCAGAGTGTGCTTAGATAATCTTAAAATTATGTAAAATAAAAACAAAAACAATAAAAAAAATTTAAAAATTATCTAAATTATTTAAATTATCTTATCTTCTTAGTTAGATAAATATGATATAAATATGGAAATTTATTTTGGATTAGATAAAGATTATTTTGCTTTTAATATGTAGTAAAAGATAAAATTATATACAATTCATCTAGATAATTTTCATATATTTTTAAGAACGCTTATATACATTACTTTTTAATTGCTAATATAACACAGTTATAAAAAAGAATGTAAAAATATTCATACTTGGATATCGGACGCAGTGTGAATCCTGCATAAGACAGGATTTAAATTATCTATTGTAAACTCGGCCTAATTAAAGGCGTTAAGGGGTCCTGCGCACAATAAAATATTACGTAACTATCGAAATTTTACTGTAATTTTGGAGTGAAATAAGGATGTAATATATTTTCTATTTTATAAATAAATCAGTCAATAAATTTTATTTTATAATTTTATTGTTAACTATTGACAGTATTTTGAAAAATGGACAAAAGATACATTTAGTAAAATTTCCGCTTTTTTTTTATGAACATATTAAATGAAATAGCCAATATATTTAATTCTATAGATTTTATGTAATTATACAGTGTTCGAAAAAAATCCCCGCTATTATAATAATAATGACGAACAAATTCAACACAGAAATAGCTGATCCTTGTGAAAAATCAATATTAATCATAGTATATTAAAAAAATATTTGCAAGTTCTTTGTTTCATAAATAGTGTTTCTTTGTACTGATCATAATTTTTTTTAAGGAATAAGATTGAACATTTTCCAGATGATTACACATACATATCTGCAATAAACAAATGTCAATCACTATTGTCGATCAGGCAACTATTGTTATTTGAAATTATTTGTTTCTTGACGGAATAATTTTATTTTCCATTATTTTCCTATTATGAACATTCAGATAATTCTAATTGTATTTCTTAAGCATTTCTTTGCACCAATTGACACAACATTAGTGTTGCCAGTTCCCAAAATATAAATAATAATCCTCGTATACATAAATGTTCATAATAGAAAAATGACGAAAAACAAAATTATTTCAATTTTTTTTTTTTTTTTTTGATTTTTTGTTTCATTGTTTTTTTATGCGGTAATCCTTGGCGCTCACAAGGAGCAAAACCAAGATGCGGTAACCCCCTATCACCTCTCCTTTCCCTATTTCCTATTCCCTACCTCCTCCTTTCCTATTTTCCTATTCCCTACCTCCTCCTTTCCCTATTTCCTTTTTCCCTACCTCCTCTTTTCCCTATTTCCTCTTCTTTTCCTATTCCTCTCCTTTCCTTCCCTATTTTCTCTCCCTTCTTTATTTTTTTTTTTTATTTTTCGTTTCATTTTTTATACGGTAATCCTCGGCGCTCACAAAGAGCAAAACAAGATGCGGTATCCCCTATCTCCTCT